AGCTGTTCCAAATTACTTAGACTTTAAACATTTGGATAGATATAAACTGGTAGTTAAGGGAATTAAATCACGTTATTTTAATAATATTTAACCAACTTGAAAAAACGTATATAAAATTTTAATTTTTTCTTTTTTTAGAAAATATATTAACGAAAGTTAACACTTTCAATTAAAGGTTAGAGAAGGTCTTTTTCTAAATTGATAAAAAACAAGTTACGACATCTTATCGCTTAAATTTTAAGAAAACCTATTCCTATTTAAATAGAACTATGAAATATATGAGAAAATTTTACCCGCTTTTATTAAAGCCTTTGAAAATAACGCTCTATTTTTTTTGTTTTTTAAAACCATTATTAGCGTTATGATACTGTATAAAAACCACTAATACTTTACTATTATAAAATCTTTGTATAATTTCCGCTTTTAAATTATGTACTATTATAAGGCTTTTGCTAGTATTTCAAACCGTTTTTCTGGCGCTTTAATACTATACCGGTAAATAAAACAAATATTATTAACGATAAGAATAACTAATGCGTTGTGCAATGGGTGTCAATTGATTTATGTGCGCGGGCGTCGTTTGCAAGGAATAAGATGGGAAGGATTGCAGCTACTTATGGTGGCTGCAATCCTTATCTTAGTCCAGACCTTATCTAATTAGTCTAGCCTTAGCTATCTAGGTCCACTCACACAATATCTGACCACACACACCACTGGCTGTGTCAGTGACTGTGGCTGTACCAGCCACACTAGCTACTCCCCCTGGTGACACGTATCAATAACAAACCGGGTTTAAACACTACTTCTTTTTGAGTTATAATTTATTTTACCTATATATTTTATTTTCTAAAATATAAAGAATCGATGAACAGCTTAATTCATAACGTATATACCTATTTAAACTTGTATAAATAGTTCTTATAAATTAAACAAACTAAAATTGATAGTTCTACTTTTAAATCCGGAAATATTTTCGTATTATTAAAGCTAATTATGTATCGTTTTGAAATTGTATCTACGTAAATAAAAGAACATTTATACTTTATAATAATATTGTTTAGCTTTAAATATTTTAATGTACCTACGTTGTTACGAACCAACAAACAGTGCGGCCTGATAGCAGACCAGAAGGGACGATTGGAAACTGGTTGACCAGGGAGTCGGGTACTGATCAGTGGAGAGATCGGAGCAACAGAGCAACTTTACACAGATCACGCGACCAGCAGAGCCTGGGTCACATGATTAAGAATTTGGATCACTGGATCACCGTGGTGATCCAGGGTGAGCCACCTAATCAGTGAGGGAGAGATTGGATATATAAGGACAGACATTTCGCAATCAGATAGATAGACAGTCTCTACCTCAGTGATTAATCTAAGCATCTTAGCCAACCCTAAGGTGAGAGAAATCTCCTGACGACTCGACTACACAGTGAACCCAGTTCAGCCCAAGCCCCAGTATCTGAGTGTCTTTTAGTTAATAGAAGCCTCTATTGTTCTTTGTGTTGACTTACCTCAAAACATAAACCCTATAGGACCCTTTAGCCTTATAGGTTAGACGGCTTGTCACAATAACCAAATTAACTTATATAAATTTTATACTTTTAATCATTTTATTATTATTATTATTAGATCTATACGATTCTATATTCAGACCATCCATACTAACCCCACATGTATGATCAAGATAAGAGATTAGATACCGGATTGTGAGGTCACTTAGCCAGACCTGCAGGTCCAGCTAGACTTCCTAATCCAACTATCAGCAACATCATGACCTTGACCCCATACTCGAGTATTATGATTGATCGTTCAAGCCTGTTCCAACAAATATATCTATAGAATGACTTTAAATACATAAAATAGTAAATAATCAAAATATTAAAATTACATTATATTAAAACCTTATACGATTTAAACTTATTAGAAAAGTTATTAAAATTAAGCCGAATTTTTTTTTTTAATTTTAGCTGATTATAAATATAACTAATTGATTATAATAAAAATCCGGTTTAACGCGTATAAACGGCCGTTATTTTGTTTATTAGTTATACTTATTATAAACATATTTCTTATGTTATATGCTATAAAATAATTAAGTAACAACGTAATAAAATTTTAACGTAAATGAATATATTATATCTATTCAAATAAGATATCTTTATTACGTGATAATATTTAATATACCGACCGAATTTTATTTCTTTAATAGTTTTATTAAAAACAATAAGCAAAGAAATATTAAGGAAAAGAATCTCGCTAAATACTATGAAGCAATAAATTATATTCATGATATTATAAATTAAAAGCACGTAAATTAATTATATAATAGAAAATAAAAAAAGATTTAAGCTGATAGATTATATAATAGTATTAAAAATACATTATTAAATTACAAAGGTTATAAAAGTTACTAGCTATTGAAAATTAAAGATTATATTATTACACTTTTATAATATAGATTAAAACACTGATAAGTAAATAACGTAAATCTATAAAATTTATGCAAAGACGAGATTACAAGAATACTTGTTAACATAATATAACATATTAAGAAATTTAATAATTATTAACGCAATCAACGTTAATAACGCTTTAACTCTGAAATTACGGGTTATAAAATACGCATACAGGAAAACATATAGCTTTAACTTAATTTAATTAATAATCCATTAATAACCGTCATAGATTTCGTAGTTTACTTATTAAAAATATAAATTGTACTAATAATGTTTATTAATAAAGCGGCCTTAATTTATTACTTTACCGGTAATAAAATAAAATAGTTTTAATATCATAGCTTTTAATATTAATTCAAGAAATTATAAGAAACTTTTATAAATAAAGCTATATAATTTTATATTATAAGTTGGTTTATTTATTTATTCTTAAATCGAGTATAATTTTAAATAGTTATCTTATTAGTCCCGCTACTAACCAGGCAGTTTATTAGTATTAATATACCTTTAATTCAATTTTAATCAATCATATTAATAGGTTCATACTTCAAAAATACGTTTTTGACCTTAAAACCTTAAAATATAAAAGGTTAAGTATCGGATTTAAAAATAGTCTATTAATTTCAATATAACGGCGTATTTATATGTTTTAACGATTAAAAAAAGTCCGATTTAATGTTTATTTAATTTTTTTTTGCCTTATTAAAGTCTAAATTTTTAATATCAAATTAAACTTCATTTTTGCTTTAAATATAACTTCAAACTCTACTGATCAGTACCCCACTCTCTGGTCAACCTGTTTCCAATCGTCCCCTCTGGTCTGCTATCAAGCCGCACTGTTCGTTGATTCGTAACAGTTATGGCTTAATAACGATCTATAATTACTAGTCTTGAGAAATAAATTTAAAAGAATATACACGAGAATAATTAAAACATAAACATTAAAGGCGATATAACGAAATAAAATCGCCTTAAATAGCCTACGGTACCCGTACCACTCCGGCCTTATACCAGCCGGTTTAAGCACCGATTTTATTACTAAATTACGGTTAATTATAGTTTAAAAATATTATTACAGCATTAAATATCAACTTTATAACCTTATAAATCAAGCTTTATATATTTTTATTTTTATTTTTAACTAATTTTGTAATTTCTTTTTTATTTACGTATATTAATAAAATCTTTTTTAAAGTCTTTTAACAATCAGACTACAACATATCGTTTAATAGATATAAAAAGAACAGGCTATATAATTTTACATACGCGCTGCTATAACGCACGCAGATAGCAGCAATCAAGGTAGGGGCCGGACTGCTACCAAGGGCATTACCTACATTATACGTAGGTATCTAGCTCGTATGCATCAAGATCCTGGCTTCCCCCAGGAAACGATTCATCCAGAGCTCACAAGGGGTTTCAATTAGGAAGAATGAGTTTAGCCTAGGAATTACTTAAAATTGATCTATCTAGCCTCGGAATCCTGGGCATTCACCTAGGTACCATAATCATATTTGCTTGCGCAGTAACTAGAGGATGTTCCTGTATGTTGTGTAAATTGGAAGGTCAGTGTAGGTAGTCACTTGTATACTCGGGTAATCATGTAGAATGAATCACTTTTGTAGACAACTGATGATGCAGTGTGACAGTACAGTGAATCATTTCGAAAGATTGTAATGCGCACATACCGAACTTAGTCAATCAGGATTTGTCATTTCAATGTTGTGTTCCATAGCCTGGTCTGAGGAGTTTGCCGTCTACTCCACAGATTCCTGAATCCTTGGCCGGTGTCCGTCTTTTCTCTGAGTGGGCCATGTTTATGATACACACTGACCTTGCTTCAAATGACAGCCAGGGAGCCCTGTTTGGTATGAATATGACAGAGCCTGCCATGAGACAAATGCTGGTTCTAGATGACTCGGGTGTGCCAACGGAGCTAGGAATAAGCAAGTTCCTGTTTCCCTTCTCAAACCATGGGGCAGACCATTCTCACAATTCATAAAGAGGGAACAATCAACTACATAAAGTCTAAAGTCGCTCATAATGGCTGCATCTTCTACAAGGGCAAACCCACAAAGATGATCCGCCAACATGCTACGGGTATACCCTATCGGGAAGGCATGTGCTGTGCATGCGCCATTTGTGGAGATCTTCCCCGGGTGACCGTGCTATGCAGTCCAAAGTATATTTATACACCATACATGGGGGCGTGTTTCAGCTTGCCCCTGCTTGCCGGATTGCTTGTTTGCTGGCGGTGGGGAAACAGGGAAGGCTGCGATCCTTATTACATACTTGTAGACTGACAGGGACTGAGGAGGATCGGTCCTACTAGCTACTGCAGGATCATGATCATCGTCTGAAATGCCCCTTCAATCAATTTCCAGCGGGCAGCTAAGGTAATAAAAGACCGAATGTCACACTGGTCATGGGGTCGAGTTTCGTCCTCGGTACCGATCGCTACTCTATAAGGAGGTGCCTTCTCCTTCTGGTCGCACTTCATCGCTCACCACTCCCAGCAAGCCTATAGTCTCTCGCCGCGACAATGCACTTCCGGTGCGCCTCTGTCATCTCGGTCCTCCCATTAGTTTCCATTGCTATTGCAGCCGATACGGCGGCGTGGAAGGCCCGGAACATCTACTTCGCCTTGACTGATCGTGTCGCTCGCAGCAGCGGTGACGACGGTGGCAAGGCGTGCAGCAGCCTCGGGAACTATTGCGGCGGCACCTTTCAGGGTCTGGAGTCCAAGCTCGAGTATATCCAAGGCATGGGCTTCGATGCCATCTGGATCACTCCGGTCGTTGCCAGTATGTCTCTACTCGTTTGGAACCCAAAATGCTACCCCGACTGACACGCGTACAGATAAGCAAGGTGGCTACCATGGGTACTGGGCAGAAGACCTCTACTCCATCAACAAGAACTATGGTACGGCCGATGACCTGAAAAGTCTGGTCAGCGCCGCTCACGCAAAGGTATGATACATGAGCGTGCGCCTGTGCCTCTGTTGCCCCGTACTGATCCTTCTGTTAGGGGATCTACGTCATGGCAGATGTCGTCGCGAATCACATGGGTCCAGGTGACATCAGTAGCAACAAGCCTTCGCCATTGAACCAACAGAGTTCGTACCACTCCCAAGAGGCCCTTTGCCACACTGGTATCAACTACGCCAATCAGACCAGCGTCCAAGTCTGCTCCCTCTCTGGTCTTCCCGATGTCAAGACCGAGGACGAGACTATCCGCACGCTATATCAGAAGTGGATAAGCTGGCTGGTGTCCGAGTATGGTTTTGACGGTCTTCGTATTGACACCGTCAGAGAGGTCGAGAAGGACTTCTGGCCTCCCTTCGTTGCTGCCGCCGGGGTCTACGCAATCGGCGAGGTCTGGGACGGAGACGCCGAATACCTTTCGGGCTACGCGGACGTCGTGCCGGGCCTACTCAACTACGCAATTTATTACCCAATGAACAGGTTCTACCAACAGACGGGCTCGAGCCAGGAACTGGTGGACATGTTCAACGAGATCACGGACAAATTCGACGATCCTGCTGCGTTGGGTAACTTCGTAGACAACCACGACAATGCCCGGTTTCTGAGCGAGAAGGATGATACAGCTCTCCTGAAGAACGCCCTTGCGTACGTCATCCTTGCGCGAGGTATTCCCATCGTCTACTACGGCACCGAGCAAGGCTACTCCGGAGCCAGCGACCCGGCCAACCGCGAAGATCTCTGGCGAAGCAGTTTCAACACCGACGCAGATCTCTACCAGGCCATCTCTCGTCTTCTCGACGCGAAAAAGGCTGTTGGTGGCCTTGGCGGGGACGACCACGACCATCTATACGTCGAGGACACCGCCTACGCCTGGAGCCGGGCTTTAGGTAACCTCATTGTTCTCACGACCAACAGCGGATCCAAATCAAGCACACAATACTGCTTCAACTCGCAGCAACCCAACAAGTCCTGGAAGGACAGCTTCGGCTCTGGCTCGTCTTATACCGCTGATGGGAACGGGAAGGTGTGTGTCAATGTCACCAACGGCGAACCTGTCGTTCTCGTAGCCAGCTGAGGTTGGGCTCTTCACACAACGCGGCCAATTGGACACGCGTGGCACAATGTCGTGTTGATGTTTCTACTCGACATCTCACAGGAGCCCTCTCGACCAGGGGTGGTGCCAATCCTTGCAGCACGATGAGGAGTGTCTGCTCTAAAGGTCAACTTCACTTTCCATGTACATACTTTGAACGTTCACTTCTTGTTATAACCTTGAGGGGTATTACACTTTAAATTACCTTCCAAGCATTAATGTGCCCGTATAATGTTGCCGCGTAGGCAACCACACACATGGCCAAGATGGCTTTCCAGATCCACCCTCCCACGCTCAAGACCTCTAGGCCACCGTCAGTTCTTCAACGCCCACGCCGCCCTCTTCACCTAGCCCCGACTGGTCTTCCGCCCCAGTCTTATGGATGCCTTTCTTCGTAAGCTTGCCTTCTTCGTCATAGTCGTCGTCCCTAGAGTTTGAGCAGTGGTCGTTATCCTCTCAATGCTTTCTCATCCGACCTCCCGAGGAGTCAAGCCCGGAGGCGCGTCCAGTTTATGGTACATTCTCTCTTGGTGTTGCTGATTCGCAATCGCCGGGCTGGGTTGCGTACCTCTAGCTTTACTCTAGGATCAGTTGATAACTTGAGGGAAAATACTGGTGACTGAACTTCGGGCAGATCAAGGGAACCGAGTTTGTCTGTGAAGGCGGTCAACAGTAGGTTAGCTGTGGAACCTCAATTAAATTCGTAGCAGACCTTGAGTCTTACATACCTGTGATATTACCTCTTAGATGTCAGAGGGACCAAGCCGAAGGAAAGGGGCACCAATGTTGTAATACCTACATTGCATACCGTTTATCTCATAGTCTCAGAACGAGTTATTGCAGCAATCGGGGTGAATGCAGCTGCGTGCGAGGGCATTGACGCACGGACCACTAACGGCGGCTACTGATCTTGTAGGTAGGTACCTTACCAATGTCATTATTAGAATCAGGTATCGATAAGTGCCAGACGTCGCCCAAATTCCACGATTCACCTGCAGTCAGTTGGATCGGCCCCGTGTCTGCCGGCCTCGACATCCTCGACATATCTGCGCAATCTCTGTGGTCTTCGACTCTTCGTGTGATTCACCTATAGGCCGCATTGATACCTACAACGGATTTCGTCCTTCAGCTCTTGCGAGTGCTTCCTACGAGGTACCTACCTACCTAGTAGCCACCTCCCACGACCGATCGCCTTTGTCCTCGCACGAACGATACCTGCACATGCGCCGCGTTGCCTGTCACACCCAAGACTGCCGAGTCAGCGTCAAGTCTTTCTGACTCCATGCAGCCCTTTGACCATGGATCGACCGAGCCGATACCAACACCCCCCATGGCGGCCTCCGCCATGAAAGTCCAGAAGAGCCGCCAATCCGTCAGCGACGACCCGCTCTCCCAGTCCCAAGTCCGCCTCCCATTCAGGCGGTCACACCCCTCTGCTGCCTCCCTCTATGCCTCGACACTATCCCCTCCGGGCTCCCGCTCCCAGTCGCCCGCCGGCCGCCCGCTGTCGTCGCGAATGACGAGCGGTTCCGTCTTTGGCGCAAACTCGAACAACGCATTGGCACTGGCCTCTGGGGCTGGTGAAAGTCCTGGCGATCCGCTCAACCTGATCCTCAAAGCTTTTGTGCCACATGTGGCCATCTACAACTCGGAGGATACAGACACACTATTGAAGGAGAAAGGTTTCAATCGTGGACTATGGGAGCTACTGCGGCCCTTTGGCGAGAGGATACAGGGCAAGGTCATGATACGGGATAGCAATGGCTCGAGCCGCAGCTACGAGGACTACTCTGTACATTTCGTACGTTTTGGGGAGGGCATTGTACATCCTGAACCCGTTACTTCTGGTCTCAAGAACCCGCAAGCAGCCAGAGCGAATGGCGTTTCCGAGAAATCGGATGATGCTGGAAGAGGACGTCCGAAGAGTGGGAATACCATTGCAGACGCGGAGGCTGTAGTCGACCGCCACTTGACCTATGCCGAGGAGTCTTTTTTTGGGTCCCCACACAGCCCTACATACCATGGCCTCGATATCGATGTCCCTTCACCATATTACGCCTTATACTTGCGCAGGCTCCTCTCGGGCCTGCCGATAACGCCACACGAGACCTTTGCCCACCCGGTCGCTTGTGTCATCGCGATAAGTTCCCGGAATCAGACACCAATCGAGACTTTAAGGCGACTATATACCGAGTCAAGCACGGGGGACAAGCAACTACCAAACTGGGTGGATGCTGAGTTTCTGCGGTACTATGTCCTCGTTCACGACGAGGAAAAGGACGACATAACGAGATCCATGTCGCTATATGAGCAGATGAAGCGGAATCTCGGTCTACATTGCCATCTACTTCGTATCAGGGGTACACAGAGCGCGGCCACGGATGATGACAGTATACCACTGCCGCGGAGCGAATGGATGTCGGCCTCGGAAGAGCTTGCCGATCTTCGCGAGGGTGAAGATCAGGAGTTTGGGGATACAACGAGATACATCTTTGAATCCGATGCAACTGCGATACGAACTTTCATTCGCGAGATGGTGACTCAGTCCATAATACCCACGATGGAGCGGCACGTGTCGGTGTGGAATGACCAGGTGGCTTCGAGGCGTAGGGGACTGGTTGGTCGATTCGCGGGATTGACCAAACGATGGGGATTTGGCACCAGTTCCCGATCATCGGGATCCGGCCCGAGTTCAGGGAGCAATTATGAACCGCTTGGGTTCTATCGGGCGGACACTCCCGAGGCTATCATGCGGAAGCTGGCAGATTATGCTTTCATGCTGAGGGATTGGAAGTTGGCGCATTCAACCTACGATCTTCTGCGAAGCGACTTCAACAATGACAAGGCATGGAAATACTACGCGGCTACGAACGAGATGGCCGCACTCAGTCTGCTCATTACTCCCCAGAACATATCCGCCAAGACACGGGCCGAGTCAATCGATTCAATGTTCGAGGCAGCTTACTATTCGTATTTGACACGTTGCAGTGCCCCCTACGGAGCAATAAGGTGCCTCGCTCTCGGGATGGAGCTCCTACGATTGCGCGGAGGGTCGAGCATCGATGACGCGGCGAGGTGGGGCCTTCGACTGCTCGAAAGCAGGGTTCTGGGCCCGGTGGGCGACGCTCTGATCAAGGAACGTCTGGCCGTCTGCTATGCATCTAAGGAAGGCTTGGGCACACAGTCCTGGGGAAGCAGACGGCGGAAATCAGCACTTTGGAGCGTATTGGGTGCAGAGACCTGGCTCGCCCAGTCAAAGTTCATCCAAGCCCAGCAATGCTTGAACGAAGCACGGAAGACATACTCAGAGCTGCCCAGCGAACATGGCATTGACAAGTTTAGCATGGCCAGCGCCTTCATGTTGAGTCTTGGGCAACAACTCAACCAGAGATTGGAAGCGGCCGACCAGGATGACGACCCGACTTCTGGAGACCAGAGCGAGGTGGTTGACGAGGAGAGTGAGGCTCTGGGCACCACAAGAGGGAGGCGTATGAGTACGCATGGGTTCTCCGGCGCCACTGCCACGAGCTTGGAGAGCGCGCCGCTGAGATCACAACTTGGTCCCTCTGGGGAAGAGAAGCAAGATCCGGGCGAGGGCAAGGACGACTTTGGGTAGAGACTCATTTGTGAACCAAACCATAATATATACTTAATTTCTGGACGAGGCGAGGCGAACTGTCTGCCGACGGCAAGCGGGCTGCCAAGGTTGTGGATATGTAGGATTAGATGTATCCTAGTTTGATAGATGTATACAAAAACCGTTGTGGTTGTCTTCGTAACCGTTTCCCTCGCAAAGGGCTGCTGGAAATCCGTTCGTTGAGTTATCCATTCCAATGACTAATTGCCTTTGGCGAACCGCTGGCTAGGTATGCACAGTCGCAGATGCCAGTCTCGATGGCCTGATAGCAGGGAGGCCTTGAAATGCGGCGAGGCGCTTCGCTGCTATACAACACGTCAGTGGCGATTACACACGTTAAATGTCGGAGGCAAGACGGAACGGAACTACTGTAGACGTCTAAGCAAAGGGCCTTCTTGGAAGTGTCTCCCCTGTTAGAGTTGGACGTCGATAGGTGCGGTTGATGTAGATAGACGATGATCCGGGTAAAGCATTGCACGTTGGCCCGAACTAATGTAAGAAGTCACGTTTGCATTGCTCATGCTGGCCGCATCTCTTGGTCTCAGCGAGGGACAAGTCTTTTACTCTAGACATAATCTCATCTCTCATTCATAACTATCTAATCAACTCTCACTGACGAGACTATAACCGCAGATCCATACCGACTAACCCACCCACTTCCTCGCATTGAGGAACAGCCTGAACCACGGCCCGTACTGGTGATCCCGCATACCATCCGGCTTCCAGGACCCAACATCGCCCATGATGGTGCGTTCTGGGTGCGGCATCATGGCCACCACGCGACCATCCCTGGACTTCACGCCAGCAATGCCCTGGGGTGATCCGTTGGGGTTATACGGATACTTCTCGGTCACCGAGCCGTAGTTGTCGACGTACCGCAGGGGAATGAGGCCAGCCTCGTTGATGGAGTGCAGGTCCGACGCGGACGAGAATTCGGCCCGGCCTTCGCCGTGAGACACGACAATGGGGAACGAGGAGCCCGACATGTCAGAGAAGAAGACGGAGTTCCTGCCCGGATCTTCTATGGTGGCCATTGAGAATCTAGCTTCAAACTGGGTACTCGTGTTCTCGACTGCAACATGTAGTTAGATATTAGTCGTGAGATGATGCAAGAGTGACGTACCGAACTTAGGCCAATGGTCTGCTCCCGGTATCAGCTCCTTGAGCCGGGTAAGCATCTGGCAGCCATTGCAAACACCGAGCGAGAATGTGTCCGGTCGGTTGAAGAAGGCTTCGAACGTCCTCCGGGCTCCACCATGCATGAGAATAGACTGAGCCCATCCGTTACCGGCGCCAAGCACATCACTGCCCATCCGTGTCAGCGTTTCTCCATTTATGGGTTATCATTTGATAGGTCATTCGCCCGAAACGACATTCACAGCATCGGGCTAGGTAACAGGAATTTATCATCACTTACCCATAGCTAAACCCACCGCAAGCGGCTATACCACGGAACTCGTCAAGTGGGAACCCATCTAGAAGCTCAGACATGTGAACATCGATAGCATCGAAGCCAGCTGCCTTGAAGGCGAAGGCCATCTCAGCATGTCCGTTCACGCCCTGCTCTCGTAGAATAGCAACTGCAGCGGTATGTGTTAGTGTGTGAAAGATAAACACCCACAAATCCGTAGGACTCACCTTTTGGTCTAGAGACGAATCCCTTGAGAGTGATCATTGCCGGCAGACTAACATCGGCGGGATCGAACTTGAGTTTGTAATGAAGACCAGGATCCCGGACATCCAACAGCGCATCTAGTTCAGACTGTGCGCAAGCAGGGTTATCCCGCAACTTCTGCATTTCAAACGACGTACCAGACCACCATTGCTGTAGCTTGGCTCTATCAAGGTCGATCAAGGTCTTTGACTTGTACTTGACGACGAGTGACTGCTTCGCTGTTGGTCGAACGTATCCAATCTTCCGTATCAGCCCAGCAGGCGGCCCGCATGTGGCGAAGCAACTGCTGAACTTGATCTCGTCTCTCTTGCGGACCTGGAATACTGCACCGAGCTCTTCGTTGAAGAGAGTGTCAAGAACGCCAGCATCGGAGGTGGCAAGACCATTGATCGAGATATCAGCCGCGCAGCGACCCGCGAACATCATCTCGGCAACCGTGGTTAACAATCCTCCATCTGACCGATCGTGATAAGCAAGCACAATGTTCTCCTATTGACAATGCAGGTTAGCACAGACTCCACGGTGGTACGAGAACTGGAACATGGTCAAGAGTGACAGAAGGCAGCCATACCTGGTGTAATTGCCACATCGCGTCGAAGAAATCGCGTATCAATCCAACATCGCGGACGTCAGGTGCTTCATCGCCGATCTGACCAAGACACTGCGCCAGCGCCGAGCCACCCATGGCCTGGTGTTTGTTGGCGAGATCGACGTAGAGTAGAATTGTTTCGCCAACCTCCTCGACACGTCTTAGCTGTGGTGTCCAGGTGCTACGAACGTCTTGCACGAGGCTGAAAGCAGAAATCACTAAAGTCACAGGAGCGGTGACACTCTTCGACTCCTGGGTCTCTCTATCTTTCCACGAGGCTTTCATGGAAGTAGAGTCTTTCCCGACCGGTATCGATATACCCAATTGAGGGCATAGCTCCATACCTATAGCTTGAACGGCGTCGTACAGCTCAGCACCTTCTCCGGGGTGTTGGACAGCCGCCATCCAGTTAGCAGAGAGCTTGACACGCTTGAGATCACCGTGCATGGAACCTGACTTGATGTCAGCGGCACCGAGGTTCATGAGACTCTCAGCGACCGCCATTCGAGCGGAGGCGGCAGCTGAGATCAGCGCCAGTGTGGGCTTCTCTCCCCTGGAAGAATTAGCATCAACCCGACACGACAAGAAAAGAGACTCTGGGACTTACATGGCCATCGCCTCTCCTCGATGTGTCTTTTCAGTGTTGAAGCTTGTCAAAGTCACCGCCACGTCTGCTACGGGTGTCTGCCAAGGCCCAACAAGCTGGTCCCGCACCGTCAGGCCACCAACGGAGCGGTCCCCAATGGTGATCAGAAACATTTTGGATCCCACCGATGGTAGCGTAAAGACCAGCTCAGTCGCTCTCGACACCAACTCACCAAGGTCTGATATGCCATATTGCTCCTTAAAGCTCTTAGCTGCTTCAAACGGATGCAGGTTCTTTGGCGCCCGCTGGACCTCCTTCGAAATTGTCCGACCCGGCGGGAAGAGTACATCCATTGGCAGGTTTATCGGTTCCTCTCCACTGGTGGTGGACTCGCGATCAGTTAAGACCAAGTTGGACTTCCCGCTTGCATTTGGAGCGAGAACAGTTCCCACTACGGAAAATCCGCAGCGCTCTCGTCTGCATATGCTGGTGAAACGGTTTAGTCCATCCCTGTTCACAAGGACGACGTATCTTTCTTGTGCCTCATTGCACCAGATCTGTAGGGGTGACATTGACTCATCGGCACTTTCCACCTGTCGAAGCTCAAATCTTCCACCGTAACCAGCGTCCTTCACGAGTTCTGGGAGGGCATTCGAAAGGCCACCGGCGCCCACATCGTGAATAAAAGCGATTGGACTTTCTATGCCCAGGGCTACACAAGTGTTGATGACCATTTGCGCACGTCTTTCCATCTCGGGGTTCCCGCGCTGGACGCTGTCGAAGTCGAGATCGGCAGTAGCCTCGGATCCCGTGTTCGATGATGCTGCACCACCGCCGAGGCCGATCAGCATGGCAGGACCTCCCAAGACGATGACATGGGCGTCGCTTTGCACATATGCCTCGTTCTTGATGGCATGTTGTGGTCGCACACTGCCAATACCGCCAGCAATCATGATAGGCTTATGGTAACCTCTGTGCTCGGACGCATCTGCGTCGGATGTGTCTGTAAGAAGTGTTCTGAAAGTTCCCGTAAGGGCTGGGCGTCCGAATTCGTTGTTGAAGCGCGCAGAGCCGATTGGGGCTTCAAGCATGATATCGAGACTTGAGGCATAGTGCGCTGGTCGGCCCACGTCCTTCTCCCATGGGGTCTTCTTGCCGGGCAAGAGGAGGTCGGATACCCAGAAACCACAAAGCCCAGCTTTAGGAGAGGATCCTCTGCCCACAGCTCCCTCATCGCGAATCTCACCTCCGCTACCCGTTGCGGCACCGGGGAATGGAGATATAGCCGTCGGGTGGTTATGTGTTTCAACCTTGATCAGAGGTTGGACGACCTCCTTGGTGAGTCTCCAGCTCCTGGTCGCATAATCCGGTGCCCAAAAGTTGCCCTCGTCACCAGACAAGCTATGGTTCGGATGTTAGCATCAATAATCCGGGCTTTACTACCCCCGCGAAGGGAGCGGCTTACACAGCGGCATTGTCAGAGTATGCCGAGATTACATAGTCCGGAGTCTTCTTGTGGGTGTTCTTGATCATGCCAAAGAGGCTCATGTCTTTCACCGCCCCGTCAATTTTCCACGCAGCATTGAAAACGTGATGTCTACAGTGTTCCGAATTTACTTGGGCGAACATGAACAGCTCCACGTCGGTCTATATCGCTTGAGATCAGCAACTGATTGACATGGTAAAGATCTAACGAGGCCCATACAGGTGGTCTCCCAAGATTGGTGTATTGGAGGAATAGGTACTCCAAGTTCGGCTGGTCAAGACCCAGTCCCATCTTCTTATTGTAGTCTTGCAGGGCCGGCAGTCCACCACGTTCGTCTGCAAAGATGTCGACAACGACGAGAGAGCCTCGCGCACCCTTTGCGAATATAGCTGTCGGTTCTGGCTGGGTCTCGGTAACGTTTTCGGTCATTCTATCGTGGATCAAGTGCTTGAATAGCAAGCCGCCCCCAAAGGCCTCTTCGAATTCGATCGTCACAACGCGCCCGCGCTCGATAGTCGCCTTCACCCCACAGACTTGTGCGATGCTCGTGGCCTTGGAGCTCCATGGCGAAGGTGTCGTCCGAGGGGTGATGTACACTTCGACGGTATTCGCGCTCTTGCTCGTGGAAGGTGGCTTCGGCTGGCCCGAGGCCTGGAGTATCTGCTTCACCTTCTCAAGATGACCCGCGGCCTCTAGATGGACATAGTAGAGCCAATGCCCGCTGATTCGGCTGACCTTTGCAGTGCTGCCTTCGTTGATACGGCTGGAAAGCTTGTGTGCCTCAGAAGCTGTGAAGCACGACTCGCCTACCAGAACCTCGTGCGCCATGGTGACGAAGGTCTGAAACGAGGGTGATGTCTCGAACGGGTCAACAATGCAATGTTGAGTCCAAAAATTGAACTTCACGACACCGAAGTCGCATCAATTACTTTTTATCGATATCAAGCGTGGTGGGGGAGGGGCAACGGCAGCGGGGTCCATTTGAACCTGTCAGCCCTGTGTTAGTGGAGCCTCTCCTCAGGAGCAATAAAGCGGGCCATTTACCCCTTTATGTCAACCATGCAAGCAGCACAAGTTGCGAGATGAGGGAAACAATAATGGACTCTTCGCAACAGGGGACGGCTTCTTTTGACACAGGCAAGAGGAAGCCCAACCCCTAAACCGTGAAGATCTATGAGCCTTGCTTGCTTGATTGATACAGTAGGGGCTACAGAAGTCACTCCTTCCATCATGCGTGGCATACCATCGCTTCATGAAGTGCACTATATGCTCCCGACATAGCCGCTTCTTATAGCACTCCCCTGGGGTCAAGGCTTTCGGCTTAACTTTGGCTTGCTTCAAGTTCAGGCCCGAGGTAGAGTTGCTTGTGCCAGATACGAGTGGTACAGTACGTCTTCACTCATATTTTATATCCGCACTCATTGCCTGAGCCGGTCCATGTTGCAGGATGTCGTCCGCAACCATATTTTGAGCGTTGGTAACCTCCAGTAAACCAAAGTATTGAATGTTGCATTAGCGTATCCCTTGCCACCGCCATCAGACCACAGTTCAAGGTAATATATAAAAAGAAAGGAAGAATGTTTTGGCTGTGTCTTGCCGATATTCGCCTTGACAACATGCCGGCGTGGACGTTGCGTCTGCCCAGGAGACCGGTTTCCGAACCTCAGCAACAGGCAGCATGAGCTGAAAAGCAATGGCACGTCAGCGGACACTGGCGGTTATACAGCCACGGGTATAGACTGTTACGGTATTACATAATACCTCCACATATTCATGTACATATATACCCCTAGCTTCCCCGTTCTCTTCCGACCTTGCCTCTTCTTCCTTAGATACCGTTGAATCTAGGTATTTCATCCCATCAGCCCTGACCAGCGCAGCTGCAGGCCTGATTGTCACATAGACGGCTTCATCTGCAATCTCCCGACTGAGCTGGAGGAGTATCATCTGGTGGACTGCCGACTTTCAAAATACCTTTTCGGTCGGGTGAGCAAATGGCTTGAATTTTATGTTTATTCTTCGGCGGGCTGCAATGCCGAATGCTGCTTCAACCTCTAGCTTGCCGGACTGAGCACATTTCCAGTTCGTATCTTTGTACGCCACTTATGCAGATGACGGCCACAGCTGCATGGCGATATCTGATCCATGTACACCGGGCAAGGCAAAAAGATGAATTAGTCGCACCATCAGTGTAGCATTGCAGTAGGTAATGAAAATAATTCTTATTGAACGGCACGCAAGGCAATTAATGTTGAATACTCCAACGTTCCGAATATAGCCTCGTTTTGGGATCGTAGCATTGCAGCTGCGTGGACCAAGATGTATGTATTATTGTCAATTTAGGCTCGCATAATTCATTCAGCCGTCTTGGCAAAATTCGGTGGTCTCATGCAGTACTACGTCGGCTGTTGCTGTAGAAGCAAATTCCTATACGAGGAAGAGAACTTCGTATTGGCCCCCTACAGGGGAACTTGCTGCATACCCCGATATTATGTAGACCTCGTTCCTGACTAGGTACCTAGTCGAAGAGTGTGGAGAACCCTGCCTGCAGCACCTGCGGTCGTCTGCTTCTTCCAAAGTGTGTTACACGTAAGAGCCAAGATTGATCGGGACGTGTCGGGATGGAACTTTGCGCTTGGTGACCACCGACAAGCTTCATAGACGTTGACATTACTTTATATATCCCGGCTTCCCGTCTTGGCTCTCGAAATGTAATTCCAGGATTCCTGTTGGACCAAAAACCTGAGGGCACACTCCCCGCCTTGAGCCAAACTCGAACCATTATGTTGTTCGGTCAGATCTTGAGCGGCATCTCTGCCGCGCTGCTCGCTGATGGTGTCTCAGCTAGCACCGTGCTTGAGGAGAGACAGACGAATACGACGGTAGCATGCACGTCTCACCTCCTGGTTGATGACTTCAGCTCGTGGGCCAATAGCACGAACCTCCTAAACGGATCCACAGGCGGTGAGACGAATACCAACCTGCCATGATAAGTGCCCCGATCACTGAACGCTACTAGATGACTCAACGATGAACACCACGAGCGCCGATGGCGGCATCCTCACCTTCACGCCGAAGAATATCGACGTGTCCTACTTGTACGAGCAGTTCGACTGCATGGACACCACGGCCCTTGGTTACGACGGCGTATCGTTCACCACCAAGGGACCCGAAGCCGCTTCTGTCTCGATCGAGCTGCAGACCAAGACCAACTGTTCGGCAGAGGAGTACCAAAGCTTCTACTACACCGTCAACGGCTTGAGCGGTGCATTGGAGACTATCAACATACCACTCAGCAGCTGGACGGGTGCAAACCTGACGCGCGTCGTCGGGGTAGTGTACTACAGCTTCTCTGCGGGGCAGACTGGGACCGACAAGGTCTGGCAACTGGACAACATCCAGTTGCTGTGCTCTAGAGTCACAGCTCCCGCCGACCCGACAGCAGTCCCAACTACTGCCAACGGTCATGAGGTGGCATCTCGGAGTGCAGACGCAGCGGCATGCGAAAGCGTCCTGATCGACGACTGGGCCTCCCAGTCGCGCCTGACGTTCCTCTACTACAACGCCATGCTCATGCCCTCCAGCGACGACGGCACCATGTCGTCGATCGTGGTCAAGAACAACAGGGTGACCCTCACCCCCACAGCCACCGACTCGTATTTCTACACGCAGCTCGGCTGCTTCGACGCCCAGCCGTACGGGGGTATCGCGCTCCGCATCACCGCCCCTGCCGGCTCTCAGTTCGACGTCCAGCTCTCCTCGACCAAGGGCGACTGCGGAGGTGACGCGACCACCGATTCCATCGTGACGACCAAACAGCTCGGATGGACGTTCGACGGCACCGAGAAGCTGTACTCGATTCCCTTCTCCAAGTATTCGGGGCTGGATTGGTCCAAGTTCACCATGGTGTTCCTCACCAATCTGGCGAAGCCAGTGACTCTGGGCCCGATGGGCCTGTACTGCGGAAGTACTCCTGTCGAGTATGTAGTCCCTGCGCCCGTGGAACCAGCTGAGCCGACAGCGACTGTGGCAGCGCCGCCGAGCCAGGCGACTAATCTGGTGATCGACAAGTTCGCCAACGCGGAGACGAACGCCCTGGGCGAGTGGCACGGCGCAGACGAGGGGATCACGTTGACGTTCAAGGGCAACACCATGACCCTGCAGACCAACGACTCGGATCTGACGTGGAATACGCAGGTCGCTGATATCTGCAAGGATATGACTGCATTTGACGGATCGTACCTGCACATCGCTTACAATGGGAGCAACAAATTCACCGTCGCCATGCAACAGCACAACGAGCAGTGTAACAACGACATCATGCCGTACCCCGAGACGTGGGACTCGCTTGAAGCTGCCAGATATGGCACCGCAACCGACATTTACATCCCCATGACCCATTTCAACATCAATCGTACGCGAGCGATCGGCTTCGCCCTCAAGGGCTTCTACACCACGGAGCCGACCGTATTCTCCAAGATCGAAATCGTCAATCAGATCCCAGCGGCCGTCAAGATACCCGAGAAGCTTCCCTCCGGCACCTTCGTACTCGCCTGCAAGCGTCCCAACTCGTTCGCCTTCGCCATAGACGATGGAGACCCGGCGCTCGCGCAACAGGTCATGAAGACCATCGAAGACGAGAACATCACCGTGACATTCTTCACCGTCGGTGCTCCGCTCCTCGATCCAACAACCAACCTGAGCGCCATCTACAACGAGATGGCCGCGAAGGGACATCAGATCGCACTGCACAGCTATACCCACCCGCCACTCGAAGGACTCCCGGACGAAGCCGCGATTGACTGGGAGTACAGCAACGATTTGCGAGCAGTGGCGCAGACGTTCAATGGGTTGCAGCCGAAGTACTTCAGGCCACCTTTCGGAACAGAGGGTGCTCGCATGCGCCAGAGACTAGCGGCTCTTGTCGACGACCCGTACATCGTGGAGTGGAGTGTCGACGTCGAGGACTGGATCTGGGCTGAATCCGCCACGCCAGAAAAGCAGCTTGATGCGTTCAAGAGGGATGTCACTGCTGGAGGGGACATCGTCGTGGTGCACTACCTCTACACCAGCACCGTCAGCTATCTGCAGCAGTTCATTCAGATAGCCAAGGCGACGGGCAAACAGCTCATGCGGGTGGACCAGTGTATGATGGATCCTAACGCGCCTCCGCTCTAATCATGGGTGAACGTATACTTGGTACGAAGTGGGCGGTTTGAAGAAAGGTCCGGAAAGTTAGCATATACCTTTCATGTATCGGCATTTGAAAAACAGAGGTTCCTTGAATCGTTCGCTTGCTGAGCTCCTCATGTTGGCGGCAGCTGGCGCCTGTTCGTGGGATTCGATCGACACAGGGACGCGTGCCTGCGTATTCGTATTTATGGATCAAACAGCGCAGGTTTGCGATAATAACTAACACATTGGGAAGTGCAGAATACTGCCGTCAGCGGCCCAACATACTAATCACTTAAGGAACCGATGGTAATCGGAGGACATGATAACCATATGCAGCAAGTCCCCAAGTCCGTGCGCTAGGGTTCGTCGTCATTCGTGATTCGGTTGTTCGATATAGTCTGTGTCAGCAACCTGCGTGCATGTAAGACTGCACTGGGGTATCACGTTAGGAGCACCCAATGATCAGCCGGCATTGTACAGTCACTGCCCCGGACTGCAGTATATAAATGCCCGCAGATATCGACAAGCCTTGAGTCACGGAAAGTAAGCTTCTCTCACACAACTTTCGTATCGGGTGACCGACGCTGTCTCCTCGCGCCTGCTAGCCATGCCTCTGCCTGCGGATGGACAGGTCGTGAAGACCGCAAGTGCCATAGTAGCAAGGTTGCATGACATCTTCGGGCCTCATCCCGGCTTTCGCCATGGTAAGTTGCCGAGTTGTGTCCCGCCCTGGCATGTACTGATCAATGTTGCAGCACATGCAAAGGGGGTTTTGCTGAAGGGAACCTTCACACCGACAGCTACGGCCAAGTCGCTGTCGAAGGCTCCTCATTTCAACAACGCCTCAACCCCCGTAGTCGCCCGGTTCTCGAGCTCTACCGGTTTCCCTGAGCTGCTTGACACCGCTCCAGACGGCAACCCTCGGGGTTTTGCGATTCGCTTCATGCTCGCCGAGACTCCTCGCCGAGTGCACACAGACATCGTCACTCACTCGGTCGACGGTTTCCCTGGCTCTAACGGCCAAGATGCTCTCGAGTTCTTCACCGCGATCAGAGATGGCTCATTCAGCGACTGTGGATTCCCACCCCAAGGCATTGGCGTTTGTCCAGATACCGACGCCGACACCAGTCAGCTTTGGCAAGGAGAAATACTTTGGCGTCAATGCCTTCAACCTCATCGCTGCCGATGGAAAGGAGACCTTTATCCGCTACCGCATCGTTCCTGAGGCAGGTGAGGAATACCTCGACGAAGCTGCGCTCAAGGAGAAGAGCCCGACCTTCCTGTACGACGACGTGCCAGAGCTACTCAAGGCCGGACCGATCGTGTTCAACCTGAAAGCGCAGGTCGCTGAAGCTGGTGATGTAACGGATGACAACACCGTGAAGTGGCCGGCAGAGCGACAAGGGGTCGAGCTGGGAAGTATCAAGCAGAAGAGGATCATCTTCGATCCCATACCACGAGTTGAGGGCATTGAAGCCTCAGCCGACCCGCTGATTGATGTACGCGCTGCGATATATCTTCTCGGCGGTCGTGAGAGGCGAGCGGCATAGGGACTTGCATCCTAAGATACTTAGCAGCTGGAGTTTTAGAGTTGACCGGACGAGTGTTGTTTCCAACAGGAGCGGCACCAAGTGAATTTTCAAACAATAAGGACTCGCACTTCCATACCCGAGGGAATACTTCGGCTTTCTTCCTATTAAAGAGAAAGTCAGAGTATCTTATTATGTATCGTGTCGAGAGATACGATGCCACTGCTCTGTCAGTGACCAGCGGACGGTTCATTATTTCAGGGGGTAAGGTGTATGTAAGCAGAAGCTGCTTTATGGGGAAGGGTGCGGGGGTGGAATTACTGCAGGCACACCTCGGCCCCTTTTAACATGGGACGTTCATGTGGGGAAGCCATAAATGGACGGGTTGAGAAGTTGAGATTGTGACCAGCTCTGCAGCAGCTGCAGGTCTTGCGCTGCAATGCCGACTCCTGACCAACCAGCTGGAGCCGAAGGACGACGGCTCTTCCTCGACACGAGCACACATCACCCACCCAGGTCCGACTGCGCGGTATCACAACATGGTCGGGACTTTCTAACGAGGACGACTCGGTACCCTCGATCACTCCATCCTGTTGAGTCGAGCGATAGCGGTACGAATCGTAGAATAGCTGTTGTTTGATCAGCATACTATTGTTGATGCCAACGCGAGCAACCTTCTCAATTGTTGTTGGCGAATCGGGATTATCGCTGAATGTTCCGGACGTCCTGCAAAATGCAGGTGAGTCGGACTACCTGATGGTGTCTGTCCCGGCAGAACTCATTTGATACACGTCGCCATAAACTTCCCAGTGGTTGGACCTCGGCAGCTGCTCGGTTGCGTGCAGTTTCAAAACGCTGCCCAATTTGCACGATAATCACATCGTGGCAGGAAAGCCGGAGCATGCAGGTGATGAGGTGGCGGCGAGCCACCACCAAGCCTGCAGGACCTGTGGAATGGAATGCAGCAAGCAAAGGCGCGGTTGAGCTCGAGCCTCCCTCCTCCTGCCTTTCCAACAGATTGATTCGCTGCTAATGGGAGATTGAGGCCAATCACGAAGCCGGACGTAGGGAGGACACCCCTGTCATCAATTTGGTCCCTTGAACTGACCTCAGAAGTTAGAGTATTTGCAGGTACGTACCTGCTAGAACCTCCCCCTCTGACAGTTGAGTGCAGCATTCAACGTGCTGATGAGTGCGACTCATCAAGAGACCGTCCGCTGGTACTGGCGCAGCCATATCTAAGCACTCGCTCATCACTTGCGACTCTGAACAGATAGGCGTGCGGACAGGCGCAGGCAGATGACAGACAGTCTTTAGTTTTGACTTGCGGGCAACGGCAGGGGTCCGTCAAGAAGAAGCTCTGAGCTGGGGACGGTCCGGTGTCAGGGCAGATGGAGAAAATACATGTTAGTCCAGCCCCTTTTAGCACGCCACACCCAAATTGGGGAGCACCAGTCTCCAGACCTGCACCAGCCACTAGCAGTGGAGACCACTGACCACTCAGGGACAGCCTACAGGAGGTGGCCGGGTCACTGATCAGGTCACCCTGGCCGTGGACTCCCATCTCCCCTGGCCGTGGCCTTGAACACGTAAAATCCTGCCCTGCCATCGTTTCCTCAACCGAACCTCCATGACCTCCTAATTTTGGTCGGCTTCACCAAATCTACCAGGGGCAGACCATCTGCATCTCTGCATTTACACCGACCCAATTCATCCTGATCCTGCTTTCTCCTTGTTTATGTACGTCGGTTCCGACCTTCTCTACTGCATCTTCACCAGATACGAATAGTTGCACGCGCGCGCAACTGCCACACGCCCGCACGCCTGTCCGCTCGCTGCCAGTCGTTCGTTCGTCCGCCTTCCTTGCCGTCCTGCGACGACGCAATTGACACGCGACACGAAGCGTCATATCGGGTACGTGAGCATCCACAGTTCCATCAGAGACCTTCTCTACTCCTCTCGACTTCCTGGCGAGCGCTGCTCGCCTTCCTGTGTTCCCATCTGTGCCCGTGCCCCTTTCCGCCAGCAGCTACATGCGGCCGACTCCCTGCATCCCTTGTCCCTCGCTGCATCATCTCTTTTTCTTTTCCATGCCGCATCACGCATCAGGCGGGTGCTCTCTTTCTCGACTGCCATGTTCAGGAGCTCAATGCTAACCTTGTTGTACCGTTAGACCTCGCGCTTTCCCCTCTGACGACATATTCTAGTCCCGACATCCATTGAAACATTCACTATGGGTAAGCTCTTTCTCTCTTTCGGGGTCTCGAATCCCTCCAATGAACCAGCCATGCAAGAGTCGCTGCCGACGGATCGCTGCTGCCAAAGGAGGCACCACAACAACAGAGTGGCCCGTCTCCCACCTTGATCCGACGAATCTCTCCTCGGTCCCCTTTACTTCTCTCCCACAACAACATCGACACGTCGCTCGTTACGGTTACGATCCCGCACGCTCGTTTTTTGGTTGATTCTATTACTTTTGGCTCCCCTTTTTGGTTCTTTGGAATACTCGACCATCGTTAGGAACAATCGTCCCCCCTCAACCAGAAAAAAAACAAAAAAAACAACATTCAATGCCTCCCTTCCTCAGTCACCATCACCACGCCAAGGCACGGGCTCGCAGTGTCCAGCTTGTACTGGACACCAAAGCCATCATGGAGAAGGCGTCGACAATATCCAGGGAATCTGCCCCGACTCCTCCAGTGCCCTCCAACCGAACCAGCAGCTGGCAATCCCTGGAGAATCAACCTCCCTCCATCCGCCACTACCGCAGCATGCTCGTCGTCGACGCTCCCTCCCTTGGACCTCACAAACCCATCTCCTATACCATTTTTCAGGACGACGACCCAGCTTCTGGTACATACCTTCGCAGAGATCCTTGCAACTGGCTTCCTGGCATACTTGCAATGACTATTTGAGATTCGCAATGGTATTGACACTTGCTGACTTTGCCTCTTCTAGCTGCCAACGGTACGACCTCGCCCACGTCGGTCGATGCCAGACAGATCTCACCCCAAGTGCCTTCTCCGACACTCGATGTCTCTGAGGTCCGACCAAAGGCCTCCTCCTCTGGTGGTCCTCCCATGATCATCAATGAGAACAAGAACATTGTCCGAAGAAAGCTTACCGGCTACGTTGGGTTCGCCAACCTGCCGAACCAATGGCACCGGAAGAGCGTACGAAAGGGGTTCAACTTCAATGTAATGGTTGTTGGTACGTTGTGCAAACTTGACCTTTGCTATTACATTGATGCTAACGTCTTTCCACAGGTGAATCTGGCCTGGGTAAATCTACACTTGTCAACACCTTGTTCAACACGTCGTTGTACCCTCCCAAGGACCGTAAGGGACCGAGCCTTGACATAATACCCAAGACCGTCTCCATTCAGTCTATCAGTGCGGACATCGAGGAAGCTGGTGTTCGTCTGCGCCTGACTGTGGTTGACACTCCCGGTTTTGGCGACTTCGTGAACAACGATGAGTCTTGGAGGCCCATTATCGACAACATTGAGCAGCGCTATGACGCCTACCTGGATGCCGAAAACAAGGTCAACCGCATGAACATCGTCGACAACCGTATTCACGCTTGCGTCTTCTTCATCCAGCCCACCGGCCACTCCCTGAAGCCTTTGGACATCGAGGTCATGCGCCGCCTGCACACCAAGGTCAACCTGATCCCTGTCATCGCCAAGTCGGACACGCTCACAGATGAGGAGATTGCCAGCTTCAAAGCCAGAGTAAGTCTTGTTTGATGCCAAGCTGATCACGATGCTAACGACATCCCAGATTCTTTCTGACATCAAGCACCACGGCATTCAAATCTTTGAGGGGCCTCGTTACGAGCTCGATGACGAGGAGACCATTGCCGAGAACAACGAGATCATGTCCAAGGTCCCATTTGCTGTCGTTGGTAGCAACGACGAGATCACCAATGTCGACGGCCGCAAGGTTCGTGGTCGTCGCTACCCATGGGGTGTCATTGAGGTAGACAATGAGGAGCACTGCGACTTTGTCAAACTGCGACAGATGCTCATTCGAACTCACATGGAGGAACTCAAGGAGCACACTAACAACAACCTCTACGAGAACTACCGAACAGACAAGCTCACGGCCATGGGTGTCGCCCAAGATCCTAGCGTGTTCAAAGAGGTCAACCCGGCCGTCAAGCAAGAAGAGGAACGTACTCTGCACGAGCAGAAGCTCGCCAAAATGGAAGCCGAGATGAAGATGGTCTTCCAGCAGAAGGTGGCCGAGAAGGAGAGCAAGCTGAAGCAGAGCGAGGAAGAGCTCTATGCCCGTCATCGCGAGATGAAGGAGCAATTGGAGCGACAACGGTTAGAGCTCGAAGAGAAGAAGTCGAGAGTGGAGAGTGGAAGACCGATAGAGAAGGAGGGCAAGCGGAAGGGTTTCTCCCTGCGCTAACCTTTCACGACTTTCTCTTCCAGTCTACGATCCATGCCCAAGCCTTCATGATGTCCATTCAATACCAGAGCCTGCCGAATTTCTTCGCTTCTTGTCTCCGTTGTTTTCACCTTCTCTTCTTTTAATCAACATCACCTAATACACCTCACGAAAAGGACCGCTTCGGTCGACGTCGCCAGATGAGCGATATTTGGACGTCGCCGGTGGCACAAAAGCATGACCGGCGCTTGAACGTCGCAAGGGGAGCTCGGGGACTGGGGGTTTCGACGCCTGGGGTTGATGGTGTTGAACAATTGCAACGAGGAATATAGTTGGGGCAGGAGTGTTGAGAACTCAACATCCCACTCCGCCACCCTTCCCCATTTACGTTGCCGTATATGATCCCTCACACTTCCCCCAAACACCATTCACATCCCCTAGGACAGGGCACGTATGGCATATGGCGAATAGGCACCAAGAGGCAGCATCTACTCCTTTCCCTTGTTCGCTGGTCAATACATTACATCCGGGAAGCCAACTATTGTCCTCCGATCAGCATTGTCCCACCCCTGGTTCTCGGAGTGGCCACCCGGCTGTCACCGTCTTTTTCCGGGCATGCGTGCGCTGGCTCATTCACTCCATCACGACAAAATGCCCTAGATTGGTGGGATGAGGCGTGAGTGAGGTTGGGCTGTTCATGAGAGACTTGCGGAGGATGTTGTTTGATGGCACAAACATGATCCCCAACTAGAAGTCTCTATTTTAGGAGGAGCCAATCTCCCGTTGATACGATGGTTCGTTTACAAGTCTCGCTGGCTTGTGCCATCTGACGAGGAAGATATCCTCGACAAACCCACACATAGCCATGGACCTGGCATGCTTCTGGTTTTCCTTATGTCGCAACAACTATGTTTTCCTTGTCTTCTAGTCTCGATGTGTTTTCTAGCTTAGGTCGCCTGAATTGAGAGATGATGTCTTTTTACCCTCGAGCACTGCCATGCCGACGAGGATTGGTGAGTGCGAGCTGAACGAAGCTGTATTGCTTGCGATCATAATATGTATCACCATTACCAGTTGTTATCCGAAAGCCGTCTTTCCAACTACTTGTTAATGGCGGCCTGGTTCAAGTCATTCATGTGCCCCTGTAGGAAAACGCCTCAGTAGATGGGTGCATTTAATCAATTTGATCTTGGGAGCACGGTTTCTACCTCTAATATCCCTCAATTTTGGTGCACTTTCCTAGCAGCATCCAGACCAGCGCCATGACGGCGGCGACGGCTGCCATGATCTCCCACAGCTCGATGCCGGCGTGGTCAGCCCGGTCTCGGCCTATATAAACTACGTATGATTCACAGGTTGGTGTGACATGACATGGGATGAACAGAGGTCTGGGGCCCTGCCGGAGGACCGTCAGGGTGTTCACGAGTAGCCCGACAGACGGGTTTGGGAAAGAGGACTGGCAGTGGTGTTACATATTATACATCATCTTCTATCTCTCTAGCTCGACATATGTAGGAAGGGAGGTATATACACAGATAAGTACACGACAATATGATCCGTCTACCGCCGTCTCAGGTACCAGTTGAAAGCCAGTTGACTGACGTTGTTGTTGTATGGCGTGGGCACTTCGGCACTGCCCACGCGAGCGACGGGATGCCGCAGGTATACTGCGGCACAGACGTTCTGGTTGACCTCGAGGTATTTGGGTATGAAGGCGAAAGGGGACATGTAGGGGCGGGGCCGCCAGGGTGTGGCGTACGGCTTGGTGAAGTCGACGGGGTTCTCCTCCTCGTCGCGTATGTGCTCCGCCATGCGCTGCTCCAGCTGCTTGAGCTCGTCCTTGGTCAGGTCGTCCATGGGATTCGAGGAGGTGGATCTTGGTTGGCTGGGCGATGCAGCTTCAGCCTTGTCTCCGGGCGAGGTAGTATCCAAGTTGAGCCCGCTCATCATCTTGGAGAGCTCGTCTGTGATCTCGGACGGTGAAGCGTTGGCGCGGCCAGCACGCGACAGTAGGGGCTTCACGTTCTTGATGAACTTCCGCAAGTTTTGCTTCTGCTGTACGCTCACAGGTTCGTCTGCTAGGATGGCCTTCACCTGTGCTGTCACGTCTTGGATCTGCTTTCGCGTCGGCTTCATATCTACCGCCGCAGCTTCCGCCGCATCCGTCGTCTCTGGGTCTTTTTCTGTCTTTTCTGCCTTGGGTTCTGATGTTTGCTCGGCGGCTGCTTCAGCTTCCACTTCGGTGACCACCTCGGTAGACGCATCGGTGTCGTCCTCCCTAGCGGTGGCTTGTGGTTGCCTCGTGGACTCTCCAAGTCCACCCTTCTTCTTGGCGCCGGTAGCGTACATGACGCGGTCGGGATCGACTTGGAACATGTCGCCGGGGTTGAGACGGTAGGCAGGGTAGTGCATCTGTTGGATCGCTTGCGTCAGCATTCCTGTCTGACAGAGGGACAGATGTCAGGAGGCTACTCACCACCTTGCCATTGACCTTGACTGCGCCATGCACACAGAACTGCTTGGCCTGTCTCGCACTACTGGCGAACATGGCTCTGAACACGGCAATGTCTAACCTCCTCTCCATGGGCGAGAAGGTCATCTGCATGTAGGGGGTCAAGGTGCGCTTCCGGATGATGTCGGTCCCCCACTCGGGCGGGTCGTCCTTGCCAGACCCTCGACCTGCAGCCATCTCAGAACCGTCGTACTCAGCCATGTATCTGGCGTCCATGTCGGCGACACCCAGCAGACGCCTGCTGAACATGCGCTCCCACTTGCGCTCGACGACGTGCTCGCCGTGGTAGCCACGCAGCATACCTTTGGCCCGCCATTTCTGTTGGAAGAAGGTCTCGTTGTCGCCGGAGCCGATCTTGGGGTTTCGCATGCGAAAGATGTTGTAGAGGTTGTATTTGTTCCATGTTTGTCGGAGTTTCTAGCGAGTAGGGGTGACGAGGTTAGCTGCGGATGCACTTTGCCTGTAGCTCGTAAGGGGAGGAGAGAGCGCTCTTCGGGCTAACTCGCACACTCGAAGATGACATCTTGAAAAGCAGTGACTTACTGGCCGTTTCAGACCGTGAAATCTCTTGGGCTTCATCTCGTCTGGTGCTCAATTGCTTGTACGGACAGCAGCTTGCTTCTCCTTCGAGAGATCGCCGTCTGCCGTCTTTGGAGCTACGCGACCCTGCAGAGAGCCAAAAAATTCTAGACAGGCTGTCACGTGCGGAAGGTACGTACCTAGGTACCCAGTAGGGGGCACTCAGCTGGCCCAAGCTTTACCCCTGCAATCAACTACGGGCATCATCAGCACGCTGACGCGGCACCCGACTTTCACTCTCGACTTCAATGTTGTGAGCAATCTTGTATGGTGCTGAGTGCATCAAGCAGTTGAACTGCCCAAGAGTTTGTTGCTATCCATTTCCTGATATGGGAGGTCGCTTCCTTGGCTCCTAACATCGGGAGTCTCTTCGCTCTTGTCACCGACGTCTTCCGCAATTCAGGTGGGGTGTCCTCGTCGAGGAGTATCAACTTTTTCCACGTATTGTTAGAAATAAGTGTTGGCCGCTCGCAAGTACAAACCGACTTCGATGTAATCGGCGAAAGACACTGGCCTTTCACAGTTCAGCCCAGGACCAGACACTCACTATAGCGATCCTCGTGCCATGGAAGGTGATACCAAATACGCTGCTCTATATGCATGGAGCATCACAGACAACAGTTGTGCTGTCCCATTTGCTTGTCGATATATACTCGCCAACACTTCACGATGAAAGTGACTAGTACACGGCTCTTATAACTCACTTCACACCCTTATCCACTCGTGGTCATTTGCCTATGTGAGAGCATGTCTGTCTCCTTCCTATACTGGGACTTACGACAGACTCGAGCCACAGTTACCGAAAGACGCTAGAGTAGTCCTCTGAGTCTCATATAGGTCGTTTGGATGTAATTCTTGCAACTTTCGGCTTCCAATTTCACCTACGAAAGCAAAACTCACAACCATGGGGACTGGAAAAGGCCCTAGGCCGAGTATGTCAGCATGTCGAAACTCCACGCGAACCCAACACCACATACTACATTCCATATCGAATTTGACATGATTGGTACGTCTAGGTAAGGAAAGGGGTGTAAGCCCAGCTTCTCAGGACAACTCTCCATCAACTCCTTTACGCAAGCAATACCAATTACTTTCGGAGACTCAGCACAGTCGACGTCTCGCTATCCTCAAAAGCGTGGGTCTGCGAAAACTCATACAGCATCATGAAGCTTGGTTGATATCATAAGGAGGATTTCGAGCCCGTGGCCCCCTGAGAGCTGATATCAATCATATCGGGTAGTCCAGAAGCAGAGCCGCACTCGGCACCGACTGCCGAACCGGCCCCTTTAGTTCGACATAAGCTCACTTAAATCCGGCATTCCCGGGCCCCTGTGCTCGCGCCTTCTAGGCGGACCGCTGCCGGACCACCCCAGCGGGAGAGCATCGGAGTCACCCTCGGAGCACTACTCCAAAGTCGGCGATAGTTGAAGTTGTCGGTGACTCGTGATTGGGTAGCATTTATCCACTTTCGTGTCTCCGAGCTTCCTGTTGCGGGTCTCACTATTCGCCTCTCATGACGAGGATGAGCTCTGACGAGGAGGACCTCGCTGTGCCTCGGTATGCACCTTGCTAGCGTTGCCAGTTCATTCGGTAGATTGTTGAAGGTTTTTTATTCCTGCGACTCCTGGATTCATTGGTTAATAGACAGACAGACAATCCTTCATCCCTACATCCGCCTATACCTTGGCTTGGCACACCCCGAGATTCGGAGATTCCAGGTAATTTCAGTTGGAGTCGTCTTCTTATTCACGATACTTGTTTTATTAGAAGCTCACCCAGCTGCGGTATCTTTGATGGTCCGATTGCAATTTATTCATTTTTGATTCGTTCTGGCAGTTCTAACACTGCGCTCCAGGTATTGTCCGTCACCCTGTTAACACCAGATTCCTCGAGGCTCATTCAGGTGCCTTGACTCGGATCAATCTTGTTGGTGTTGGAATAGGGGAGAGCGAGCATTCATTTTGAGACAGAGTTCGCCTGGGAATGGGGATGGTGATAGGCAACGCCACAGACAGGAAGGAGTCCGGTGAAACAGGGCAAGGACACGATGCTCCGTCCGCCGAGAGCCAAATTAGAAACTCTCGCGGCCTTGATCAAACCAGCGAGTTCGCACCGGGTGCCCCCGAAGATAGCGATTCCGACCACTACACCGGCAGCTCGGACGGCGAGGACGGCACCACATTCTCACCAATCCGGCATCGCCAAGCCTCAAGTCTCCATGCTCCATCGGCACCACAACGCTCCCTCTCACGCACTATTTCTGAGGTCCACGACGGGATCGCCAGCCAGCATGACGCCGAGCTCGGCGGCGGTGAACCGCTGCGCGAAAAGCACGCATCGACTGCGCCCAACCCGGACGACCCAGACCTGGTGACGTGGACGGGGCCCGACGACCCGGAGAACCCCAAGAACTGGCTCTTCAGCCGCAAGTGGCAAGCTGTCTTGGTCATTTCTACGTTCACCCTCATCTCGCCCGTGTCGTCGTCCATGGTCGCGCCGTCGCTGACGGCTATTGGGGCGGAGCTGAATGTTCCGCCGGGTGGTGAGTTGGGGCCCGTTGCTTTGTGCCCGCTCTGATGTTTCACTACCACGCTCGTGGCATTCGGCCTGGGAAGTGTGTGATATAATGGGACGGGACCAGGATTTTCAGGTCGCTAACCCGCAGATCAACGCAGTCCAGCAAAACCTCGTGCTATCCATCTTCGTCCTCGCATACGCGATTGGACCACTGGCGTAAGCAGTCTAGCCACTCCTCCCAGCCCCTTAACGTTACCCCCTTACCCCTTCCCATCAACCAGTGCCACCCTGACTAACACCACCGCCAGCTGGGGCCCACTCTCCGAGCTCTTCGGCCGAGTCCTAGTCCTGCAGCTTGCAAACCTGCTATACCTCTTCTTCAACCTGGGCTGCGGGCTCGCACGCACAAAGGGCCAACTAATCGCCTTCCGCTTCCTCTCCGGGCTCGGCGGGTCCGCGCCCCTCGCCATCGGCGGCGGCGTGCTGTCGGACCTCTTTACGGCCGAGGAGCGCGGCAAGGCCATCTCGATCTACAGCCTGATGCCGCTGCTCGGCCCGGCCGTCGGCCCCATCGCCGGCGCCTTCATCACCGAGAACACGACGTGGCGCTGGGCCTTCTACGCCACGACCATCGCCGACGCCGCGATCCAGTTCGCGGGTCTCGTCTGGCTGCGCGAGACGTACGCGCCCGTGCTGCTGAAGTGGCGCTGCCAGCGCCTCGCGCGCGACACGGGCAAGACCGGGTGGCACACCCCCTACGACGACCCGGACAAGACTGTTACGAAGACGCTGGGTATCGCCTTCACGCGGCCGTTTCGCCTACTCGCCACCCAGCCCATCGTGCAGTGCCTTGCGCTGTACCTTATGTATTTATATGGACTGATGTACATCGTCCTAACGTCCTTTCCCTCACTGTGGTCGGGGCCCCCGCCGCATGGCTACGGCGAGGCCGTCGGCATCGGCGGACTCAACTACATATCGCTGGGCCTCGGCTTCTTCCTAGGCGCCCAGATATGCGCCCCCCTGCAGGACCGCATCTACGCCCGTTTGAAGCGCAGCAAGTACGCCCGCAACGGCGTCGGCCGCCCCGAGTTCCGGTACGTATAGACACATCCCATCACAAGACCCTGGGCCCTTGTTTCGAGAACAAGCTTTGCTATTCCCTTTCCTTCTTGACCTAGAGATTACCTGTACGGGTATAGAGACAGGATGTTAACGTACAAGCAGCACGCCCATGATGGCCCCCGGCGCCGTCCTAGTCCCCGTCGGCCTCCTCATCTACGGCTGGACCGCCGAGTTCAAAACCCACTGGATCGGCCCCAACATCGGCGCCGTCCTCTTCGCCGCGGGCGCCATCATCGGCTTCCAGTGCCTGCAGGGCTTCCTAGTCGACTCGTACGCGCGCTACGCCGCCAGCGCCGTCGGCGCCGCCACCGTGCTGCGGTCGCTCGCCGGCTTCGGGTTCCCGCTGTTTGCGCCCGCCATGTACGACCGTCTTGGTTATGGCTGGGGCAACACGCTCATGGCGCTGCTGGGCGTCGCTATTGGCTGGCCGGGCCCGTTATTGTTGTGGCGGTGTGGGGAGAGGTTGCGGATGAGCAGTCCGTTTGCGGCGGGGGGTTAGGTTAGGTGAGCCTCGAGCACCCGTTTCTTGGGTACACTGAATCTCCAGAAGTCTCCGTACGTACACCCCTCGTTCAGCAAGCGAGAAGTAGATTCGGCTTAATGGAATAATCACTCTAGAATAAGCATCCAAGCTGGCTTGCCGAATCGAAACTGCTTATTCCATAGTGCTGCTTCCATTAAAGGAATATAACATTGATACCTATCTAAGAATCGATAGAGGCATGCTGGACGGAGACTTCTGGGGGGTGATTGTAACATAACGGGATATTTGGGCGGGCTTTTAAATATATATATATAGACGGCTGTTGGATATAATGACGAGATGAAGCATTGCGGACGAAGTCTGGCAGACATCATTTACAAGCGGGTTATAGTAGCATTACACATATAGATCGGCAACGGGTAGCTCACTCCGCACTAGGTAGACAGGTACAGCTGCAGGAAATCATCAGTATGAATTCGTCGCTAGGTATTTGCAAAGCATCTACATGGAAAGTGAAACCCGAACGCCGTGTCCAGCCTATGTCCATCCATGCTTTCCTCGACTGATACTGATATCATGATGCAAGGTTCCTCCGCATCCGCAGGAACACGGGCCAACGAGCATTGTCTTACAAAGCCCGTTCAGTCAAGCAACATCGACGCGCGGTAGTGACGACCCTTGCTGAAACTGAGGTGTGGGAAGACAGCGCTGCAGTGACGATACTGGCTGAAGCTGTGTGAAGACGGCCCGGAGCAAGTTAGGCTGCATCGGTGGCGGCTCCTTCCTTGGTGTCGACCTTCTTCGCCGGGGGTTCTCCTGCAGCACCATCCTCCTCTCTGGCACGCTTTCCATTCGTCTCGGTCTCCTTCGCCTTGGCCTCTGCCATAGCCTTTGCACCCTCCTTGCTGGTGTGAATCTTGGGGCGTCCGTCATCGCGCGGCTGCTCGTCCTCTTGCTTGACATGACGGTCGCCGTTCTCATGACCGTCTCGCCCACGGCCACGACCACGGCCACGTGCTCGACCGCGACCCCGACCGCGACCATTGTTGTCTCGGAAGCCATTCTGCTGATCTTGCTCGCGTCGCTTCTTCCAGTCGTCTGAATCACCTCCTCGGTGATTGCCTCGGGACTGTCCACGGCCGCGACCTCGGCCACCACGGCCACGGTGGGAACGCGAAGGACCGTCCATGGGCTCCAACTTGCCCTCCCGGATAGCCTGTGCCTTCTGGTCCATGTAATCTTGCTTCCATAGGATCAACAGATCGTGCTGCTTCCACTGTGGCTTCGGATCCAATGCCATAAACTTCTCGGCTGTCTCCTTGTCGGCCCACTGGACGAATACAGATCCCTTGAAGGGTTTATTGTGCTCAATGTCTTTGTCATCTTTGCGAAGACGGACCTCGCTGTACTCTCCAAACTGACTGAAGAAAGCCTCGACCTGAATTTGGGTGTCGGGTTCTCCTTCACCAAAACCTTTCACGTAGACGCTGCGCTCTATGACCTGGTTGGGCGTGAGTTTCTTGCTTGGATCGTACGCGTTCTTTCGCCGAACTGTCTCCTCGCCTTCTGCGCCTTCCACCACTAGGAAGCTGCTGGCCTTCAGGGCATTGATGACAGCAGTGTAGGGCTTGAATCGACGCATGCGTGCGAAGCTGGCGATCTTGGACACAGGCACAGGCTTGTTCTCCTCGCCTCCAGTCTGGCCCCACATGTACTTGTCTCCCGGAAGGTTGCTGTCACTAAAGTAGAAGTGGACCTGGAGCACGACACGTCAGTTTTAATTACTAGGAGTGCAACAAGCTGGACTAACCTGTTTACGAATATCTTCGGGGTCATCAGAATCCGGAAGGACAACGGGATCTGGCTTTGTGAATGGCTTGCCGTGATGCTTGTTGCGTCTGACCTTCAACATGTTCGCAGGGGGGTTGAAGATGGAGGGGCCCACAGGCTTCGTCTCGCCGGCATCTTTCTCGTCCTTGGTGCTGTCCTTGTCCTCGGCGTTCGGCTCGGTCTCTTCCCTGACCTCGACCTTGACATCGGCGATGGGCTCAGTGTTAACTGCAGGGGCGCCGACCATCTCCTCGTCCGCCTTGGGATTCTCAGAGGTAGTCTCCTGCTTGAACTCGGACTCGACAGACTTGACTTCGGCAGGCGCAATAGGAGTGTCGACAGCCTCGACAGGCTTGGTATCCTGGTCACTCATTTCGGCGACAGCGTAGGGATCCTAGGCACGATGCGCGGCCAATCATGAGATGACAAGGCGCTGCGGCAGAACAGGTTAGCAAAAGGCGTGTTTGCAGATTGAAAGGATGGAATTGTGTAGGCCTTGTTCGAGGTAAATGGACGAGGTTTGTGTAGGTGTAGTTATAGTTGCACGGCGGGGCGCAAGAGTCACCGCGGGGAGTGATTCAGACGGGAGCTTGACAAGAATCTTCATGCCAGGCATGAAAGAATTGGGAGGCTTACCGGGTGAGGGGTCAAGGACTCCGCGGCGATGGATGCACTGCAATGAAGAATGAGAGTCCGTTATCCTCTCAATTGCGAGTGCAGAGTGCAGAGTGAATTGCCGTGCAGAGTGAAGAATTATCAGAAGCAGAGGAAAGGTATCACCGACGCGTAGCTTCGCAAAAAGGTCGAGGAGCTCCAAACTTCCAAAGGCGATGCCCCCACCAAAACTTTCTGCGCACCAATTGAATCAGAATTTTACCTCTCTGTGCCGAATGCCCCGCCAGCCGCTAGCCTAGCCCCGCTAGAACCCATCGCCAGCTGGAACTCCTATGACGGGCCGGCGGGCCGCATTTGGCAGTTGTTGTCTGAGGGAGAAACAACCTTATGCTGGCACCATTTCACACACAAGTTACGAGACACACCGTACAACCCTAGAGGTGTTGAGGAGGCTCAGCAGTCTTTATGATAATAATCAAGCTAGGAATTAACTTATAGGATACTCTGCGGACACATACTTATGAAGGCACCGCAGGTAGAAGGAATGCGCTTCTTACAACCCCTCTAGCTATGCCAGCAGGCCTATTGCATTTGGCAGCGGACTCCTCTAGTCGACTCTATCGCGATGCCCCTACTCGTTCACTTCTGTGTCACTCAGGTCGAGCGCCGGGACTTGGACCGTGAAGTCGTCGAACGGCGCGCCATTCGTCTGGTGAACCGCCCAATTGATCGGCACCGGGTTATCAGGCGACGCATAGCACTTCATACCGCCCCAAGCCCCGACATAGTCTCCCGAGGCGATGCCGTGTTTGGGATCTGTCACGTAGTCGATCAGGTCGGCTACGTTCTGGCCTCCAATTCTGCGATGCTCCAGGTTAGCAAAACGGTCGAAGCTTGCCACAGTATCGAACTATCCCGGGCAGCCGGGGCTGTGAAAGGGAAAGGGCAAGGGGAAACAGGAGGGTGCTGCTGACCTCACTACGTCCTGTAAACCCTACATGACTGTAGCCGAGAACTCGCAGGTCTTGTAGGCGACGACGGCGGTCTGGCCTCCCGAGGCCCAGTCGCTGGCCTCGTAATAGCCGTGGTTCTTGAGCAGGTAGTCTCGGATCCACTGGCAGTCCTCGACGCGGGCTTTGACGGACAATTGATCGTAATCGCCTGTCCCGTCACACTGGTCCTCATTCGCACCCATGACCCAGTGGCCTTGGACCGGCAGCTGGAGTCCAGCTTGCCTCGCGGTGTTCGGGGAGGCCGTGTTGGTGTCGATCGCGGCGCTTGCGGCCGAGGCGGCAAGGAAGCCGACGGGAAAGATGAGATTTCCCAGGAGCATCATGGTTGGCGAAGGGAGTGGCACTGGTGCTCGGAACGGAGGTCTAGACAGCCAGGAAATAGGGTTGTCTCTTCTGTGTAGGTATCGTGGCACAATTTGTAGCAGGAGGAGTATAGGAGGAGTAGAGGAGGGCAGGTTCTGCATGGCTGTTCTCTAGGAAAGTAAAATAGCAAAGGGGTTCCCTTTATACACACTGGAACAATATCACCATTTAGAACCAAGCTTCACTATCGTGCCTGGACAGCACCGGAGACCATTGACTCTGATGCAACTGAGATGACGTTCACCGCAATCTCGAATAACCAGTGAATGTTTTGCCGCAACGAAACAACCTCGCCTTGACTCAGCCAGTCTCTCTCCAGCATCGCGCTCAGAGACTGGTGACTGGCTTGCGAATTCCTGGGTCTCTTCCACACAGCGAATGGATCGCAGCGATGATCGGTCGTTCGAGTCCCAATGAACTTTGTAGCAAGTAGTATTCATGGAGGAATTGACGAACCTCCGAACTTGATGGCAACCTGAATACCAAAGCAAGATCGCTCATGACCTACGAATTTGCGCGTAGATTGCAGTTCCTTGACTCTTAAGCTGCGGCTACCAACTGCGAGATGTGCTACGCACTGCCGATACGACGGGTGAAGTCAACGTGCGATCTGTTTGTTTCAGCCGCATCAAATACACGCCCAGAACGATGCGAGACCCTTGCAGATCTTCCGTGGCACTGGAAAGTCTTAGGTAACAGCTATTGCGTCTATTGGGGCATCTTGAATCCTGATGAGCCAAGACCTGACAAGACGTGAGCTATCCCCGCTGAGCTGTTCTTGACTCAGGAACCCTGCACCTACAGACAGAACCCCCACGAGCTGAATATCTTGCAATGAAGTTACCATAGAACCTTCCGCGGCCCCTGCGGTGTGACTCGCTACGGTAGTTGATAACGACGAAGATTCACGGACCACAATGGATGTTCGCTTGGCGACAAAGACTGAAGGCGATGCCATCGAAATACCAGTCGAACATGGCCGTCAGGCAATTCTACAAGAGTAGGTCTGATATACTGTACGCCACTGACACCCAGCAAGTTGTAGTCGTTATCTTGAGGATGGAGATGGTTGATTATCATTCGTCGACTCCACCCCTCCTTTTCTCGCTTATCTACCCCCCGTTCTCCCCCCCATTCTCCCCAAGCTCGACAACCTCGATAGGGACAGGGGACAGGGGCAGGCATCGGCCCCCAACATCGTCATCTTGTGCTTTTCCCTATGTCAAATGCCATCGAGCTGCCATCGAGCTGCCACAGAAAGCATGATGTGGCATACCTATCCTAGCCCCCTAACTCTTGGGTGCACCCAAAGCTGGTAAGCAGCAGAATTATATCATGATGCATATGCAGTCCTCCACGAACCACCGGTATCTCTCCCTGGCACCCCGATTTGCCAGACTTTGCAAGCCCGTCACACTGGAAGCCTTCACACTGGAAGCCTTCTTTACACCTGTCAAGGCCGCCACCGCTGTCACATCATGCAAAAGGACTGCGTGCATCTTACTGGTCTCGTATGATTATTCCCTCGCGGGTTTCCATATACCACTACGCAGTCGTCATGATAACGATATCGCGAGTCAAACCACCATCTTTTCTTATCGAATTCGTCATTCTGCATCTGAGGACAAGCTGCTACCGTTGCGCCCAGACAGTGACAGACTGCTGGCTATAGCTTGAGACTATAAGTCGGTGGATACCGCCATCTGCATCGCCCTGCTGCGGATGCGGTGCGGAAAAGCCGTCACATCGGCAAGTCGGGTCTCCATTTCCCCAGGTCTGGGTCTGCAGTCTGACCTGGAGCCCTGCGCTAGCCATCGCGGGCGTGGGTAGAACTGATTATTGAACATCTCCGTCCATTCCCACATTGCACTCCCGGTCTTCCTGCCCCCCGGATCCTCAAAGGCTCATCCGTGCCGTGAGACCTAACAATGGCTGGCCCGGATCTGTCAAGTCTGCCAACGCAGACAGCGTTGTCGCTAGGCTCGGGCCTTGGGTTCACGGACCCTGCTGCCGCACATCCCGCCAAAAAGAAGCCGAGGAGGGGCACGAATACCTCGGCCCAGAAACGGCGATGTGTAAGCACGTATGTGAGACCCTTGCTGCACTCTAGGAACATGCACCTTTGACTGACAGATGAGCTTCCCGTAGAGCCTGTGTTGCCTGCCGGCGCCGCAAATCGAAATGCGACGGAGCCCTGCCGAGTTGCGCTGCTTGCGCGAGCGTGTACACTACCGAATGTGTCTACGACCCCAACTCAGACCACCGTCGAAAAGGCGTATACAAGGAGAAGATCGATAGCATGAAAGCCCGCAACTCGACGCTCCAGATCCTGATCGAAGCTATCCTTAACGCCGACGAGGAGGATGTCCCCAATATCGTCAAGAGGATACGTACATGCGACAGCTTGGATAATGTGGCCGAGGCGATACTGAGGCAGGAGACGGGCGGTGGGGAGCTGGAAGACGAAGACCACGTAGAGGACGACTACACCTCCGCAATACCCATCGAGGGCGAGAGAGATCTCGCCCGCAACATGGGAGAATTGCGCTTGGAAAACGGGGCCACCCGCTACATCGGCGGCACATCGCATCTGATACACTGGGATACGCTGGGCTCATCAAATACCGAACAGGAGGAGTCTGAGGATACCAACACAGATGATGTCGACCCTGTCACCAGTTGGTCCGACGTCACCAAAGACCCAGAAGTTATCATCCATCTTCTTAACATGTACTTCAACTGGCACTATCCATACTTCACTACACTTTCGCGCACTCTTTTCTACCGGGATTTCTTGAAGGGCAAGCGGCATATTGCCCCCTTTAAAACGGCCTACTGCTCTTCGCTACTAGTCAACGCAATGCTGGCCCTCGGGTGTCACTTCACCAGTGTACCCAGTGCCTACGCCATCCCAGGAGATAGCTGGACAAAGGGCGACCATTTCTTTGCCGAAGCCAAGAGGCTGATCGTTGATCACGATGAATACGAGAAGCCTCGATTGGCTACCGTCCAAGCCCTTGCTCTGATGTCGGTCAGAGAAGCAGGGTGTGGCCGCGAAGCAAAAGGCTGGGTCTACAGTGGCATGAGTTTCAGAATGGCACAGGACCTGGGACTCAACACAGACATCGGTGGCATTCGCAGCGACACCGATAATCTGGACGAGCACGAGATCGACGCACGGAGAGTCACATTCTGGGGCTGTTTCCTGTTTGATAAGTGCTGGTCCAACTACCTCGGCCGACTTCCCCAGCTGCCCAGGAGCTCCTACAGCATTCCTAAATACGATGTCTTCCCTGACGAAGATGCTGAAGCCTGGTGTCCTTATAGTGACACAGGTTTTGAGGAGACTTTGAAGCAGCCGTCACGAACCCGCACGATTGGCTTACAATTGTCGAAGCTCTGTGAGATCAGCAGTGATCTACTTCTATTTTTCTACCACCCAAATCATATAGGCCGGTCAAGCGGGAAATCGGCTGAACTGAAAAAGCTGAGCGAATTGCATCGACGCCTGGAGGACTGGCGAAAGGAGTTGCCAAGGGTACTCGAACCTGGGGAAGGGCAGCTCCCGAATGTCATCCTCATGCAGTAAGTCTTGTCCGCAATCTCTGCTTATTGCACTAAAGCTCACATCGCCTAGCATGTTTTTCCATCTTCAGTATATTCATCTGTTTCGGCCATTCCTCAAGTACTCACCTAACGCGTCGCCTTTACCGCCTCACGTATCTCCGCGCAGAATCTGCACTGCCAACGCGGGTGCGATTTCCAAGCTCATGCGCTTATACAAGAAGCTCTATAACCTGCGCCAAATCTGCAACATTGCAGTCTACATGCTGCACTCCGCCTGCACTATTCACATATTAAATCTCCCTGAGAAGACGGCGAGAAGAGACATCATTCATGGAGTCAAACACCTCGAAGAGATCGCCGAAGACTGGCTCTGTGGCAGAAGGACTCTTAGCATCATTAGTGTTCTCGCACGCAAGTGGAATGTGGAATTGCCGGAAGAAGCCTCCCAGGTTCTACAGCGAACAGATGAACGCTGGGGCACTTTCCACACTTCCGATGTCCCCTCCCCGCGGTCACATGTGGTCACGACGCCATCGCCACCGGCTGCAAGGGGCTCTTCACCTCAAGCGAAGAAAAAAGACTATAGCCCGGGACGCCACAGGGTCGCAGCGGTTTCACCCTCGCCTCCTTCCGCTGTCTCCGGATACAGAACATCCCCTGAGATGATGAACAGTTTCGCGCCATCTCCCAACCACTTCCAGTCCAGTCTGCAAGTGACGGAGCATATGTTGAATGACGGAGCTACGATGGGCAATTCGATACCAATGGACATGGGAGCACTGAACAGTTCGAATTGGCGGCAGCCATCTGCGACGGAACCCATACCGAGCTACCCACAGCCCTACGCGTCCCTGCCGAACAACATCCGATCTAATCGGACTTCTCGAAACACCACACGAGACGCCACTCCGAACTCACTCTATGCCATCGACGGGCAAGAATGGTACCTGAAGGACGGCGTGAATTGGCAATCCGGATTTGACGTCTGGACCACTGGCGGGACAGGGTCCAACAGCATGCCGGACCCGTCTCTCTTCATGTTCGCTGCCAACAACACCTCTGATAACACTCATGGCGCTAACAACGCCAGGCGGTCTTCACCCAACATGGACTTCAACTTTGACAGCCTGAACAACCTGTCTTCCATTGATGGGTGGGATCTGTCAAACCTTGAATGAGCAATGAATGGATGGGAAATATACTTTGGTCTCGAATGTACTTAGGGCCGCGCTGGGCGGTTGTACTCAATCTCTTGGGACGATACCACAGGATCTGGCGTCGATATAACAATAGATGTACTGTACACATGAATTTCTGGTTTGGGCAGTGTCACCAGTTGTATGGCACATGGGAATGTGGTGCACGGTTTGCTCCTGTACTTGATGGCTTCGAAGAGAATATAGAAGCCTGCTTGTAATTTGACGATCTTATGATCAACTTCACCCGTCCCTGTCGTCCGTGCAGCCTCATGCTGATCACATTCAAACTCGGGAACGGGGGAGCGCCCGACAGCCTTTCACGATGCTTATCCCGTATCAAACCCAGATTGGCACCTTGGAAGTGGCCCGTGGCATTTCCATGGCCGCCGGGGTTGCGTAGTTGTAGTTGATGCTTTGTCCCCCTTTAAGTTAGCGCTCGAGATGCAACGAGTAGGTAAGTCCATGCGGGATAATTACCAATCGGTTTCTGCGCTTTCTGTTCTCGCATGCATAGGTACTTACCTATCTGACCGTTGGGATTGTGGCATAGGACTCAGGGGTATGCGGACCCCAAGGGATATATTAACGATCTTTTCTAGCTTACCCTTCGTCACTTCACGGGTTCGGGCGTTAGGCTGGCCAGGACTGTTGTGTGTGAGCGGAGAGCAGCACGGTCTGGATATCGGCTTGATGGGTATGGTTTATCGCATACCCCAGTGGTCATGTTGGAGAAATCGTGCATACTGGCGACTGCTGAGAGCGAGGGGTAATGCTAATGGTTGGTGAATGTCTCTTGGACACGAACGGAGAACAACCGCGCGTGAAACATAATAACTCACGGCCCTTATAGCTGGGATATGTCAGCTATGTTACCATGGCTGCTGACTTTCCCCTTTTACCTTTGGCGGATTCGTGGCTGGATCGAATCGCTCGCATTCAACACTCAAGAAACGTAAACAACCAAACAGGGGCTGTTTTATCTTCCAGCTTTTATAAAGCTTTTACCGGCATCTTGATGTCGGGCCTCGCGAAAGGGCGTCAATGGAGGGCAACTGTGTCAAACCGCCTTTTTGCACTGACAATCCAATATCTCTACCGAGGGCTCCTTCGCCGTACCTGCTGACACTTAGGAGGAATTCAGAGTATTTATTCTCAAGACTTTCGATTTAAAGTTCCCACCTCAGAGAGGCCGTCTTTCAAACTGAAGCCAACCCCTCCTTATCCCGGCCTCCATTCCGTGGACCGGGATAGTGTTGAATGGCGCATAAGCCACCGTGGCGTTCAAGGAGGTGGCAGTGCACCAACAAGGCCAATAGGGCATTTTTAGGCCACCTAGCCCACAGAAGGATTTTCACAGAGATACAACACTCTAACCAGAATCACCAGAATACACGTTATCAACCAGATCAACCATAATACACGCTGTTTAACAGATAGCATTCGTGTAAGGCCCACCACAGTACCGTTGTCGACTTGCTATCGCCAGTGTCACATCCGCGAAATGGGTCGTGGGCATGAATTTGTTGAGTGTTCAAATGGTGCGTTTCTGTTCACGCCGCAGCCGTTAATGTTGTTGTTGTTGTTGTTGTTGTTGTTATATTTAACGCCAGGGGATCAAGCCGCATAGCGGCGATCTCGAGCCTCCCAAGGGGCATACAGGCGTGCTAGGCTAGGAAGTACCGATACGGTATATTACAAGGAACTTTTGTCGTCGCTTAACCCATCTAGCATATCGTCACCGCCCGACATCACTGGAAGTTCACACATAGTGTACACTACTACTACATCTCCCCTTCTGTCGACGGCTTCGCAAATCTTTCACGAGTCCCCCCTCCTCCGGGTGAGGGATGGTGCCTCAATCCACCCCACACGGTACCTTCGATAAGTCGCTTGCGTGTCATCTTCCTCAATGGTGTCTTCAACCAACCAGAAGAACCCAATAAATTAGTACAGCTCAGACGCCCGGTGTACAAGGGGTTCGCATCTGTGCCGTCTATAATACCTGTACTTTACGGTCAGCTGTGGAAAGCTCTGGCGTAGGTTTTAATATCCACTGGTTGAAGAAACTTGATGCAGCCAACGGATGGCTGAATCGAGGTTCGTTCTGGGAACCGCTGAGTATTGTCTAAGCTCTCCGTTACCTTCACTGACCGTAGCTATCATGAAGTCCATGACTTTTTCTCTGTGGAGCGCCTCATCGTATGGTTTCGCTCATTCGATAGCGTTAGACGCCGTCTCTCAAGTAGGTTCTCCGAATCGTATGAAGAGCCGCATCATTTATAGAGGCGTCGCAATTCGGGTTGTCGGGCCCATCAAGCCCTGCATTCTTTCTCCCGGCCTCTCTCTTGAACCCAGGATATTGACTGGCGAGCGTAGATATGCCCGATAGCGAAGATGGCCAGAACCAACTGCAATGACGCGGTCCATCACTTCTTTCATCTACATCTCATGATGAGAACAAGGGAGCTCTTTGACTTGGGACAGAGCCAACCTTTGTACGGTAAGTAAAGAGACAAAGGTCAGCAGATCCGACGCTCGAGACTTGCACATGAAGGCTTTGTGGCACAGGTGCGATCCTTTCAGATTCTCATTACGAAGACAAAGACGCCATCGGTACAATGCGTTGTTCTCGCGAGAAAGGCGTACTGGAAACCCACCACCATAAAGAGCAGAACAATTCCCTTGCAAGATGGTCTTCTGTGCATCTCATCAGCCATCAACATCACAGCACTAAATCAGAGGGACTAAACAACCCTCATCTAACATCCGCTTCTTTGTATTTCATTTATCACCCACATCACACACCAGAGACATTATAAGTATTCTCTGAAAAAAGAAAATAAATCCCAGCGCTACTATGGATAACACGGATTATGCGGTTAGCTGGGAAGACCAATTTATGGACCCCATACTCCTAAATGAAGATCAAAGGATCTGTGCCAGTCCGGAACCCGTCGTCGGAACTCCGACAGAAATTGAGCGCACAATGTTGGACGAGATGCTGAGCCTCGCAGCATCTTCAGCTACAGTAGCAGGTTATCAACCTCAGCCTGAGCAGGAGAGTACCGATTACCTGCTGGACCCATTGCTGGACTCTACTTCCACTATGCCACAAATGCCTTTGAACTTGAATTACCAGCAGAATATGGGGCTCGCACCGCCACCATATTACGACCCTTGCTACCCATCAATGCAGGATTTTTCCTGGGGTTTGCGAAACCCAATGACGATGAACCCAGGCTACCCGGCATATCCAGGGGGGCAATACCCGTTGCCGGCCGCATATACACCATACACGACGCCCTGGCAAGGGGCCGGGATGCCAATGCCCGCACCCTATAGCGAAAGCATACGTGATAAACCGACAATCACAGATAACATCAGACGGGTGAAGCGGAAGCCGAAGCGGAAGCCGTCCAAGCCAGCTAAAGAGGTTACCGAGAAGGTGGCGAAGCGAAGAGTCAGGCGCCAAGCTGTAATAAAGGGCCAAAAGCAAGGGCAAAAGCCGGAATCCGCCATGGCCGTCCCACTAAGCGAGTTCCTAAAGGACGTCGACGTGGGTGACATCGACATCGAAGCCTACGCGAACCGCGGCACGGCGGCACGGCTGGAAGAGACGGCCCAGCGCAGAGGGAAGACAGGAAAGACCCCCAGGCCCCTGAATCCGGCCATGCTGTACCGAAAGGCGTACCAGCACCGCGTTCGCCGGTGGCAGGAGGACAGTCATTACACTGAAAATGCTATTTCTGTGACCACGGCTAATAGCTGGCATTCAGAGACCGAGGAGGTGAAGGATCGCTTCCGGCGGCTGGCCAAGATCGAGGCGCAGGGCCACAGTGCCGCTTTCCCGGACTATGAGTACAAACCCGAACGATATTATGGCGTCAAGCGTAAAGCTGTCAATTATGATGAGGGGTAGGTACAGAATGTAGACTGATCATAAGGTGGGTTTGTCTAGGGGTTACAAGATTTATAGGGTTTCGGTAAGTCTTCCTTTTGCCTGATATTTCTTTCGTACATTTAATCCAAAAATGCAACATTGCAGCTCCACCACTCCTTTTGTGACCCCTATCCACCATGACAGCCACCGAAGGTTGATTGTGAATCGTTGATCTGGCCATTATATACTCAAAGCAGCCTCCGTACCTAGCAGCCTAGAATCGACTTTTGGCTCGAGGCTATGGGACAACACTGTGGGCCTCAGCTCCTTGCATTTCATTGCACCCGCTACAGTATAAATAGGTATAATCCGTCATACCTCCTCTCCGCATTTCTATCAAATCTCCTCCATCCAGCAATTATCCGTCGCGCAACAGTCGTCATGTCAGACTCCTGGTTCGCGGACCAACTAGCACAAGACGGCGACACCGAAGACAGCATGCACCGCGACGAAGCCCAAGCACTGAAGGACTCCCTGCGCCGGCACACAACCGCACAGCAAGCCGCCCGCGCCATCACCCTCTCCATCGAGCAGTCCCGCACCCCCGGATGCGATCTTCCACGCCTCTGGGGCTTCCTATCAGATGTCCTGATCGAGCTGCCCGCCGCGCACATCGCGGAGCTCGTTGCGCTTCTGCAGTCCAGGACCTCCCGCCGGCCGATCTCTCCGCCGTACCAGAGCGGGAGCGGCCGGTCCACGGGCGGCTCTGGCGCAGCCTGCCGGGATTCGGGCACCATTTCACGGATGTGCACCACGCAGATGGGTGGCGCACGGCCTTCGTCTGGGACCGGAAGTCTACCGCAGAGCGCGAGGAGTTTCGCGCCCGCCATGTCAAGAAGGCGAACGTCGAGGCGCGGTTGGCGGTCGCGGATGTGGGTACGATCCCTGTGGATTGGGGCTATGAGTGCATTGCCGACGCGCTGGAGCGGACGATCGACGATGACGGACTGCGAGGGGCCGAGGTGAGCGCCGCGGCGGAGTGGCTCGATGTCGCTGGCGAGCTGTTTGTACGAGGTATCGCGCACGGCGATGCGAGCTGGGCGTTTGGCAGTCACATAAAGCGGGACCTGAGGGGGGAAGGAGTCATGAGCTTGGATCGCTGGAGGTTCTGGGAAAGCCGCCTTACCACTTTGGCTGGTCAGACTGGGCCTTCAGGGGAGGTGGCGAAGAAGGCGTTGGAGAGCATGAAGAGAATCGGCGTTGATTAAGGTAAGTTAGTACTACGATATGAGTTTTGTTGACTCACTCGACGGTATCTATCTACCATCAGCCTCCTCGCCACCTTTTGCATTTTTCCATGAGCCAGCATAGTGGTGTGTTACAAGTACCCGCCCCGGCACCTTATCCCCAAACTGCATGTTCATCTGGTTTGCAAACGCGTAGTCGGGCAGCACCAGCACGTCCCCTACCAGCTTCGGTTCCGCGACATTGGATATATCGTCATTGCCCACTGGCCGGTCGAGCATCCTGCTCAGGCTCTTCAGGATCCCGCGCGTCAGCCTGCGCGGACCTGAGACGTCGATAATATCATCGAGCATCTCGAGGGTCAAATCTTGTACACCGACGCCGAGCTCTTCGGCCTTGCCAACCAGTCCTTCCAGGCAGTCTTCGGCGACGGTCAGCAGATGTGGCGACTTCGGTTTCGCCATGATGGTCCAGCTGGCGAATTGCCGGACCCAGATGTCCACGTCGAACTCCAGTCCCACGACGATGCTCGCGTCTGCCTTGTACTGCTCTGGAACCCATTCTTCGATGGGCACCTCACAGGAGACGTCCAGGTCGTTCCAGATACTGCCGTATTCGTACAGGATGAGATAGCGGAGCAGGTCGGCCTTGATGATTGGGATACTGATGTTGAGAAAGGCGTCTACTAGGTCGGGACGAGAGGCAAACTGGGTCTTGACGAAGTCGTCCCCCGATATGTCTGTCAAAAACTCGAGCTGGAAGGTCGGATTGTTGGCAATACAAGAGCGGGTGTACCCTCGAAGTTCGTCATTCATGCTCCTGGGCCCGACTTTGTACCACAGCTTGTTCGGTATTGTTGTCTGTTGCGGTGTTTGTTCGAAGTGGAACAGAACTTGGCTCGTCCACCGGGGACCTTGAAGACTAAGAAGACAGTAACATACTGTCAGGACACCAGCAGCGGCAAGCAGCCTGACGATAATAGGGGGTCGAAATGACGATTGAAGCATCTTTGAAGGCTGTCAGAAGCTGTCGACCTGGCGGAAGAAATAGTGTAGAAGAGAGTCAAGAGACTTTGTGTCCCAACCCAGAAGATTGAGATGGTATCGATGTAGCGTACAGCACGGGGGTTCTGATTTTTGTTGTCTTTTGGGGTATTTGGGTTTGGCTCCTCCCTTCCAATCGAAGAGCCTAAATAATAAAATAAGTCGATGTGGAATCAATTCAGGCTCTGCTGTAACCTTGAGCAAATTAACGAAAAATCCAAAATTTGGTGGCTCATGGCTGAACTCTGTTCGTCTTCTTCCTCAATCTCAACGCCAATATGTCACAGTGCAGAAGAGACAAAGAAGTGCGCTTGCTTGCTCCGGGGGAGCGCGGCCCAGCTCGTTTTAAGGACAAGGACTTCGGGCTGTACTCGACCAACTTGACAACGGCCCGGACCTCTCGCCCCCTGACAGCGGCACATTGGGCGGATATTGCGCTTCGTTGTTTGGTCGGTGTGCGACCCGACAGAGTGGTCCGGCCAATTAGAATGCAATCCAGCATCGCAACCCCTGGTTCGGCGCTTCGCAGCCAGCCGCCCACGATGCTCTAAAGTTGTTGGTTTCAAGTCTCGCTACTCGCCAACAGACACGAGCTGCAAGATCTCGTCGGGTTTATATTTACATTCTCAGGAGACGGGCAGAGACGTGTCCGAGTCTTGTGAAAGCCATGAACCTTCCCTCGGCTCTCCCCCCTCGGCCCTTGCTCGCTATAAACCCGCTCTTTCGCGGTCGCCGATGCGCAATCCAGACAATTACTTGACCATATCACCTTTACACCTTCACTATGCATCATTGGGGCATGACGCGGCCAGTGTTCAAGTCGGTGCTGCTACTTGCAGCCGCCGTCTCGGGCGACGTGACATTTGTCAGACCAGGGCCAGGCGTCCCTAACTCGACGGACACGACAACATCCAACGCTGTTCACCCCCTGGGCACGTATTTCCACATCGCCTGGTCAGGAACGAATCAGTCAAGGCTCGTCTCTGTAGTGCTATTCCAAACCGACGGGCTTGATTTGGAATATCCATTTGAATATGTTGTTCGTAAGTGCCTTATCCTTGCCCAGGGCCCAGGGGGCGGTGGTGGCATGGGCATGCTAACGTCGCCTACAGAGACTCTTACCGGCGAGACCTCATTCGACTGGACAGTCAGAACCGGCCAGAATCTTTCCTTTTCGAATTTGTTCCTCCTCAGCCTCTTCTACGACGGAGAGAACCGCCCAGCAGCCTTCAGCGAGACCTTCAACATCACTGATGTCTCCCCGGTCTTAAGTGCCTCTACCAGCTCCACGAGTTCCACGAGCTCCACGGGCTCCACGGGCTCTACGAGTTTCGCAAGTTCGACAAGTTCGACGAGCTCCATTTCTGCGGCCAGTGCCGCAACTCCTAAAGCCTCCAGCACAGCGACTTCCGATGACAGCAGCGCCAGCGGCTTACCTGTTGGTGTCAAAGCCGGCATCAGCGTTGCCGTGCTTGTGGTAGCCCTACTTGGAATCGCCGCTGGCGAGTTGTTCTTCAGACATCGGGCGAACAAACAACAGCATCCTGCTACACTGCCTGCCCCCGCACCGTTCCCTCGCGAGCAGAAACCGGAGGACCCCATCCAGAAACACTATCTTTATGAGATGGCCAACTCTTATGAGATGGACGCTCATTATGGGGGTCAACGCATGCCACACGAGTTAGATTCCGGCGCCCAGCACTCCTTGGTGCCACAGGAGCTCTACGGTGACTCGGCGAGACAATGATACCCCGTGATCGGCTGGTGCAGGTTACACCGTTACAGGCACGTCAAGTCCAGTACCTTTTCTGTCCTTGGACTTGATGGGAGCAACATAGACGGCATATCGAACTGAATCGGTCCGCGCTACCGCCGCGTCAAGTTGACGACAAGTTCACTTACTGTCAGGGGGGAAGATCCATGCTTTGTTCTTGACCAAGCCCTTGAGGCTGCAGGAATTGTATGATACATTGCTCACACGGGTTCGTATCTGGACTGAGACGGAGGATTAGGTAACGCGATCATGTTTAATGAGGTATATGAGTATCGCTGGCATATGTATCGTCATGTAGTACGCTGGAGAAAAATGGTCAAGCCACTCTAGTCGCATTCCTATGTGTCCCTTTCAACTAACAAGCAAACGATCATTCGTCATGTCGCCGGACCGGCCCCTCACAATGACATTTATCTACACTCGGCTCTCATAAGTCTGCGTATGTTTACCTTGATAGTATTCCAGATCACCGGTGGGGAATGTTTAAGATACTAGCATAATCATAGAAGAATAATCAGCTCTGGTGTCATATGCTACTTTGGATGCTTACTCCAGCACGCTTGTACCAATTACGATGAACATACCGTTGTTAGCCGGATGCGTGGCGTACGGAGACTTATGAAGGTTCAGTGTAAATGATCACATAATAACCAGCAGGAGAGTAATCAGAATGCAAATAAGGAAATCAAACGATATAACCCAAGCCAACTCAGCGAAAACAGAACCGCGACCAAAGGAAAACTGAAAAGATGTCGAAGATCATGACCTGATCCACCCCAGTAGAAGCAAAACCGTAACCCAAAGATAACCAAAAGAATGTCGAAGATTTCCCTCCAATGACCCTATACCTTTGTTTGACTCTTCCCCATCCAACCCCATTCAGTGCAACTTTCCCATCACCCACTTATTTGGGAGAGTACCGCCGATGTGGTGACTGTAACCCTCAAAGTACACTTTGCAGCTATCCCTTCGCCACTTGTCATGATGGAAGCGTTGTACTAAGGTTTATATTCCACTGCTTGGGAGTAGAAAGTGGTCGACGCCGGCACCTTTTCCGGATCGTCGTCTCTAGTGAACTCAGCATCGACCCGGATTTTATACTTTCCGAAGTTCGTATTCCTGGTGATCATCATGGTTCCGAGCTGCCACGTGCGCCGAGTGGCCGCTCTGAACCCTCGATATGACCCGATGACGTTCCCTCGGTGTGTGCGGAAGACGCCGGGATCCCGGCTTGCTGAGGACCAGCTGGACGTTGGGTTCGTCACTATGATGTGCAGGTTCGAGTCGTTGGTGACAAGCATCGGGGTAAGCTTCTTTACTTCGACTGGGAACTCGAGGTCGACCCGCAGATAGAATTGTTCTTGAGACTCAAGCGGGCCCTTAGGTTGAATGATCTTCCCAAGGGGTTTCTCAGGAATTGGCACATCGGTTTCCCCCTGGGGCTGTGGGTTGAGTAGGGTATTCATATTCATAATGGTATGCAGCACTTGGATAGTGATTGGGAGGTAAAGTTATTGATAGCGAAAGCTGTCTGGGAGCATATAGCCAGCTACCACGGGCAGGACGATACTCTTTATATCTGCCATTCTTTCGAACATACTGTCATCATTGGCAGTTGGTCCTGTGTTGTTGGTTGGCTCCGGTGGAAAGCGTTGGAGGTCTTCTATGAGTCCAACACGCAGAAGACCTGATCCAATACAGCAGCAAGACTTCGGTGGAAGCAGCATCCCGTAACGGCGCTTTGGTGAGGTCGGTATCGAATTGGTATTGTTAAGGTATATATGTACGTCTTTGTCTTGAGCACGCCGTAGAAACCAACTGCGGTCCCATCACGGAAGCTAGGCGATGTCGTTGGTACATTTGCCATCTGTGTCTCCCGAATCGTTCAGCTGTGCCTCCCGAACCGGCCTAGATGCCCCTTATCGGACGGAGAGGAATGACAGCTCGGTTGTCTTTCTTTGTCCCACCTCCGGCCAACATCGCCAAAGCGACCCACACCCGGCCCCACTCCCGGCGAATTGAACGCCAACGGTCTTCGGTTCTTTGTGTTACTGCACATGTCGAATGCTACCATGTGGATACCCCTGAGTCAGGTTGGTCGCAGCAACAGCTCAAGAACTTCGTGATGTCCTGCCAAACAGTGGTCTGCTGCCAACATACTCCCAATCAACATCCAACCGCCGGATTTGGCGCTGCAGTGGAGTCAGAGACCGTCTTGTGCTGTTGGTTATCTGTCTCCTTCCATACCTCTGTTATACGCGGTCCACGTCAGCATATAAACCATGGCAAATCTAAGAGCTGCTTGGCTGGCGTGCCAGCTTCAGAGGCATGGGGTGTTCTGCCCACGCAGTTGCGGAGTGGAAAAGCTTGCTGAGCTCACCTCTGTAGGTTATGACATACCTAGCTCCTCACACACACCTTTTTACTCAGAGGATGCCTTCCCGAGATCCCCGTATCAAACAAGGTGTGCAAGCTCTTAAAAACCCCCTGCTGTTTCTCGAAATCAGATCTATGTTCTACTACCTTTTTTACACAGAGATTTCTTCCGAATTTGAACAATGTTCAGGACCTAATGGAATGTGATTAGAGAATGCGAGCCAGGCTAGCGATGAGTATGAATGGGCCAAACCCCAGGCAGTGGAGGAACTTTCCTATTGTTGGCTTGAATGACAATGGACAATAGATTACATGAATGGGATATCCAGTAGTCACTATAAACATCTGCAAAACTTACCACACAGTTATCTCCTTCAATTAGTGGCTATCACCATCAGAACACCATCATTCCTTGTCGACAATCATCACCACACATCACAGAAAAAGACACTCAACAGTCCAACGTCACAAAAACGTTACCTCAACGCCATGGCTGACGACACCATGGCTGACAAATCAGCAAGCCCTTCAGGAGGCTCCGAGGGCATGAAGGATGAGGAACGTCCCGCTCAGCGGTACCTTGAAGCTCCTTCAGACTTGCGCATTGATGGCGGACCAGGCTGGCCAGTTGAACACAACCGTAAGCATCTAAATCTGCCATAAACAAATTTAAAAACAGAGCTGAGTATGCCATAGAAACCAAGCCCTACAGCGAGACTTGACCGTACGCGCCGTTCGACGGCAGCAAGGCGATGATAAGCGACGATAAGCGACAAGAAGTCCATTTGGGGCACTGATTGGACCCAGAAGGGCGACGACTACAAGAAGAAGATTTCCGACGAGAAGGAAAAGTAGACGGATGAGCGGCAAGGCGCAGTAATGCATCATGTTATAGCATTACGGCAGCATACGAAGATAGTTATTGATATGAGAGATGAAGACCATGGGCAGCTGGATTGATCGCTGCGTTACTCTGAAATCTGAACCCTGACAAGTCTCCGTACACCACCCTTCCAGCAACCAACAGTTTATTCATCAAACCGGGATAAGGACAATGGAATAAGCATTGGAAGTAGCGTATCCAACTACAGCTGCTTATTCTTGTCTGCTCGAACTCTGATCTGTGTTCTATTACCCTTTTTCCGCGAAGCTTTCTTGCGATTTCGAACAATACTCAGGTCTCAATAGATGTGATTGGAGAATGTGAGCCAGGCTGGCAATGAATATGAATGGGGAAACCCCCTGGTGGGCAAGTAAGACCGACAGTGAATGGACTTTGCTATTGTTGACCCTTATAACAATGGAGGTGACACTAGACCAACAGAAACACCAATAGGCCATTCATTACTTATCTGCAAATATATTCTGCTCACAAATTCAGGCACACACGTTCCTTTTGTTTCCACTTCCCGAGTCGAAGTCCGTACGAAAAGATCTCCTTATCTCAGGCTGGTCATCATCACACCACAACTTCACTGCATCGCAATTACTTCACGGAGAAAAGCTCACCCCACACACGGGTCAGCCTCATCTTCATCTGCCACCTATCATCTCTCTTACAAACACCCGACGACTAGCACCACCGGCGTGATGCCTGCTGAGAATACCCCGACCCGGTCCGACGATGCCGATGAGCACGACACCGCCGGTGAACACGGCACTGCGAACCAGCTGTCCAAGTCTCGTGCCGAGAGCAAGAATGGCGAAGGACTTCCCGGCCTGCGGTACTTTGCGACCCCTTCTGGCCCAGCCTGGCCAGCGGAGCACACGAGTAAGCATTCATGTCTATATTAACCCTTTGCGACACAGCTTACTATGACGTAGAAACGAAACCGTACAGCAAAACCCAACCCTACGCCCCCTTCAACGCTAGCAAGGCAATTACAAGCGGCAAACATTCCATCTGGGGAAGTGGCTGGGCCAACAAGACCGATGACTACAAGGACGAGTTGGACAAGAAGGAGAAGTAGGCGGAGGATGAGCGAGCCACAAGATGCTAGAACTCCACTCCGCGACAGTGACATACTGTGATCACGGTTACCAAAAGGAGAGAGAGAGAGATCAGCAGCGACCGAATTTAAGGCCTCATATTCAGCAGATATCGACGTCTTTTGCTATAAGCATCTTATTCCAGTGACGCCTATGACCGGAGCCACATACAATTGGTGGAGGCGGTATATTCGGTTTCCAATACTCAAATCAGGCTGTAAATGTTGGGCGGCTGCTGCAAAAAAGGCAGACAAATAACTAAAAAGGGGTGATAACCCGCGACGAATCAGGACCCACGAGCGCCAGACAAGAGGTCGATTGGCCTGCCGATAGGAAATATAATAGCAAGGGGCGAATGAATGCATAACTAAAGTACCTACATACACAGATCTGCTACGAAAGTTACCCTGGTATGTGCGACATGTCGTGGCAAGTCCTCGTGGGAAGTGGTAGCCTTCACGATGACGCCCCTCCACCTTGGAAAAGGTGTGTGAGATAGAGTATGCGGGGCATAATCCCAATCAATGCCAGAGGATGGTCAGAGAAGAGTATTAGTGATCGTTACATTGGGGTTTGGTGTGCTCTCCGGAGCAAAACATGCATGAGTTTGTCGGACAGAAGACACAAACCTCCACCTGGCCAATGCCTTGCTACAGTTCGATAAAGTACTTGCATTCTTGATGAACGTGGAAACCACGAGATACGATAACTGTTCATTTCTCGCAGTCAACGAGGCAAGGATCCTGGGAATCTACAGGAACAACTTGAATGACACTCTACTTCCCTCCCAACACCGACGTAGTGACAATGCCGCAGACCAACGCACCGCATAACGAATAACACAAATACACGTAGCTTCCTCTTTGAATACAGTCCAATGATGGTCCCTTCAGCGAAGTCGCAGATGCACACATCGCCCATGCAACACTCAGCGGCCGCCACCATTAACAGTGACCTCTGGCGCGCCGGACACGTTAGCAGGAGCAGTGCGATTAACCCTGCTAGTGTCATCTTGATAGCTGTCCCAGTTCTGAATGATTTGCGCTAGCTTGGGCGACTTGGTCAGTTCATACACATTCTGGAAGTATTCTTTGGTGAGCTCAAACGGGCGGGCAGTGACGTTTGGAATGTATTTCCCGATGAGCTTAGACGGGTCGATGGACGTCTTGTGGATCTTCTTCAGCAATATGTTTCGGAATGGCTTGACACCGGATCGCAAGAAAGTAGAGTGGAAAGGTACGTCGATGCCTCTGAGGGGAATGGTAGCAGCCCCTCTTATCAGATTTATCGGGCGTGACTTCGCCTTAGTCTCCTTTGCGCTATCATTGATCATGTTGACTAGGCGCTCCTTCATGTCCTCGGGCTTGAGGTTTTTGCGCAGCTCGCTGATGTCAACCTTCTGCGACTTCAGATGGTCCGTAACGCCGGTGAGGGTATCGAGAGCGCGGAGATCTCCGGCGCAAACATATTGCATGTTTGCAACGTTGTAGTTGACGATCTCCAGAAGCCAACCAGTCACTTCAGCAATCTTGCTAACGACAATTTGCAGCTCTTCCTCGCCAAAGGTTTTCGAGATGCGACTGGGGTTGACGGCACACATGGAGTAGTTTGATCGACCCTGTGCGTCGCGCTCCACAGCGACCTGCATCGTCAAGCCACGATAGAAGACAACAGACACCAAGGACTCAATAGGTAGCACGTCTGCCAAAGCAGCGAGCGCCGAGTACTCGCCTAGCGAGTGACCGGCGAAAGTGCTGTCCCGTGGTACGAGACCCTTTGCATTCATGTCTTCGAAACTGGCCTTCTCCATCAAAGTGAGGGCAGGCTGGGTGAACTGCGTAGCCGAAAGGAGGCCTGTAGGCGATCGGTACGTGTACGACGTCGTTCTCTCGTCGATCTCCTTGAAAATGCGTTCGGACTTTACAGATCCGTCCACAGCGATGGTCTCGAAGTTCATCTGCATGTAGTTGTCCCGAATGGCCTTGCCACGAGGGCCACCGAAATGAATAGTGAGCTCCTTGGGGTTGTTCTTGACGATGTTCAAGATGGAAAAGCCTGTAAGAGTCAGCGGCGTTCATTTACTGAGATGCAAAAACTTACCATATGTGTCCAGGAGGTACTTGTCGGCCCTATCCCAGACTTCTTTGGCCACGGAACTCGTTCCGTACAAGTCCATACCCATGCCCTGCTCCTGGGAGCCCTGGCCGGTGAAGATATAAGCCGTAATGGGCTGTTCGACTTCGGCTTCTCCAAGGAGAACTTTGTCTTCAGTTTCCTTGTTGCTTGCCTCAACCTTGATGATCTTGCGGCCACCCACCATGCCGACATGCTGAAGCTTAACTTGGATGTCGTCATTGGGTAGAACCATACCGACCAACGAGGCATGGAAGCTACGAACACGGCCGACGTTGTTCTCAGCAGCCCATGTCTCTACCAGGCTTCGCACAGCAGCGCTGGAGTACATGCCGTGGGTGATGGTACCAGGAAGGTTGGCATAGCTGGAGAAAACACGAGAAACATGGATCGGGTTGTAGTCACCCGAGACCTTGGCGTAGTTCTCGTTGGAAGCAGGCGCCTTCAATTTCAGAGGAGTCCTGCCACTCAGAGGAATGGGGTTCTCAAAAACGATGGGCTGCTCAATAGAGGATCCATGACGGGCAAGGTAGTCAACAACAGGGTTGCCGTGAGAGACTCCTGCGTCGTAGTCGACAATGGCAATCTGGATGATCTCCTTGGTGGGGAGCTCGATCAGCACCTGACCCCTTGTCTCAACATTCGCGAAGGTCGTCCTGTTCTTGAACTTGACGAAGCTTTGGAGTCGGAAGGTCAAGGTCTGACCAAGTAACTCTATATCGTTCCTTTCAACTTGGAACCAGTCCTTAGAACGCAATACGGCGACATCCTTCGAAGTAGCAAGGTGAACTTGCATTGGCGTTTCGAGTCTGCGTTGGAAGGTGTTTTTAAAGTCTGTGTAGACACCGCGGTACAGAAATTGCGACGTGACCTCCATGACAGGTTGCCCACCCCGGTAGATGGTGCCGGTGACTTCCACCATCTTCCCAGACTCTTGATTGATGACACCATTGATCTGTGCCTTTGCCTGGACGTCGTCGCCTTTCTTGAGAGGCTCAGCGCCTGGCATCATTCGGAAGCCGTTGGACAAATGCACCAGCTTCAAAAGATCACCATCGATCATGCGCGGGAAGATAGGCTTTGTGATGGCCTTCCATCCAACGACGATGGCAAAGTCCATGGGTGCGAACATCTCCTTGCCAGGACGGTCAACAAATGCCTCGCCAGTGTTGCCCACGGCATGCACGAAGTCGTTGATGTCTCCGCTGGTAATTGTGGTGCGTCCACCGTCGAATACACTTGTAACGGGAGCATCCAGATTGATCGCCTCATCGCCAAACCAGGCTCGCCAGTAGAACTCTTTAATATGATCATTGCGCCCTTCCATTACCTCATGAATAGGTGCGTATCCAGCTTCGGGCCGGTAGACAAATCGAAGGGGCAACGAGACTGGTTTTCCAAGGGCAGTAGTATCCTTGATCATGTTGACGACGATTTCCTTGCGCCCATCAAACTTGACTTCAATGACGTCGACATATTGGTTGTGTCGCGGCTGTTCACGAACGATGATGGACGTTTTGGCTGGCTCGTTCGGGTGGAGTATCTCGACGAATAGACCACGAACAGGTGCGAAGATACGCCTCATCGGATTTGTCTGGTACTTCTGCCCCTGGACCAAGACTTCGGAGTTGAATAGTGCATGTCGCCAGGATCGGCGCGGACCAGCCAAAAGGGCCAGCCAGCTGTCGACGGAAGGCAGCGCGACGCCTGCAGACGATGACAGACGGTAGGTGTGCTTGTGCGCATCTTTGGACACGGTGAGGCCTTCAATATTCAGTGGCACTTCAGTCTCCACCAGCTTGCCTCCGAAATACTCAATGACTGGGATCGAGCTCTCTTTGCCGGCATACACATCTTTGGTGAGGCTGGAGATGTGAGCGTTGTGAATGCCATCTAGGATGTCCTTGATAGGCTCGTCCATAATAGTCGAGAACTTGACCGCCATAGGTCCCTGCAAGATACAGGTTCGGCCGACATCTTGATCAATGACTGCTTCAAGATCTTCGGACTGCCACAGTGAATCTTTCTTGAAAAAGAACTCGAAGCTTTCATCCAAAGACGGAACGAAGGTGACGGGTTTCTGACCACGACGTTGACAGAGAAGCAAGAAATGCTGGACGTCTTGGGCATTGATGATCTGTGTGTCGGCCTTGGGATAACGAGAGAAAATCTTGTCGACTGTAACGAAAGGCTCGTCGAGATCCGAGTAGTTCTGGAGGAGCGAAGGGCTGGTGTGGCCAGAAGTGAATCGTTCCTCGAGACGATGAATGAAATCGCCTGTCAGCTTTCTATAAGATGGGTCAATCCAACGCGACTCATGCTTGACGTAAAGAAGCTCGACCATGCGACGCACAACCTCATCGTAGGTCATGTCCTCAAGGTCTACTGTCTGGCCAGCCTTGTTCCGCCCAAACCAGACCTTCTGGAAATCATCGTTCAACTTCTTGATGATATATTCGCGGCTCTGCTTGAGTGCGGCGACGCGCTTCTCCTTGGGTAGGCTGAAAATCTTCTGGTCCATCTCGGCCCAGAATAGAACACCGCGGGTGGCAAGTTTGTGAATGGGCTCCCCCATCTCTGACCGGACAGTGATAACACCGCCCGCCGGACCCTTGTAAGTCTTCTCCCATTTGTCATCTGCCAGTCCTTCGGCGTCGACGATAGCCTTTTTGGCGCTCTTGCTGGTGTGCGCCTCCTTGGCAACCATCATGCGGCTGCCAAACAAGCAGCCGTCAAAAGGCATGGGTGGGTATCCGTACTTCTTCGACCAGTCACCCGTCAGGTATGGGTAAGTGTCTTCGGCACCACCGAACCCACTTCCAGCGACCAGTACGATGTTGTCCGATCGTCGGATACGACCATACATCTGCAGAATGGGTTGGTGGAAATCTTCGTAGGAGTGATGTCCGCCGCCACGACCACCAGTCCATTGGAGGAACACGGGGAAAGTTGGGTTGGCCTTCGCGATATTGATGACAGCCTGTATAGATTCCATGGAGCCTGGCTTGAATGCGATATGCTTGAGCCCCAGGGTTTCGATGTATTCCTGCGCAACCTCGATAGACGGGACACCCGCGCCAATAGTGAGACCTTCAATCGGGATGCCCTCAGAGCGCAGTCGGCCGATAAGGGGAATCTGCCATCCCATGGCGCGAGGATTGACGTAGATCAGGTTGATGGTAATACCGCGGCCTGCAGGTATGTTTTCTTCAATTTTGGCTAGGGCTTCGGTCATGGTTTTACCATTATAGTAACCACCGCCAGCCAACTCAATTTGGTACCCAGCGTTCATAGTCGCAGCGACAAAGTCCCACGGCACGGTGCAGGGAGTCATACCAGCAACCATGATCGGCGGCACACCGAGCAATCTACTCATCTTGGTGTCGACGTAGGTCTCACCGCTGGAAGTCTTGACTAGACGAGGGCCGTATTCCTTTACCCAGTCGATGGCATAGACCACAGCATCTTCTTCGTCTCGATCGAAAAGTTCGGACTTGTATCCAACTTCTTGTGCAGAACCGTCAATGGTTCCGGCAAGGATGACACGCACGCCTGTACCCTCCTTGTTGCGGCTCGTTAAGATACCGAGGCCGGAGATACCACCTGGGCCGAAGTCCAGGACATGAGTAGCATCGGGGAAGACAGTTGCCTTCTCCCATTGAACGGGGTCTCTTGTAATCATACGGATCAGGGATGGCACAATGTCGCCAGTGACCTCATCCCTGAGGTCCGCTCCATTGCACGTGTTATAGACAGCGAAGCCCAAGGCTGATGCGTCGATCTTGATGTTCTTGAGATCCTCATCGATCAGTTTGGTCGCCTCTGCGAGATACTTGCTGTGGAAGGGGGCAGTGATAGGCAAGAAGCGGTTGACGAATCGGATCTTGCGCTGAGTGTGCGGTATCTTGGCTTGGTCCAAGCCGGTAGGGGCCTTGACCTTCCGTAGCTGTAGATTGAGACCATACAGAGAAATAGGCGGGCCCGTCACAACCATGTTCCGGGGACTATTGACCAGCGAGATGGCAATGTGACGATCTGCAGGGAGGTACTGATTTGTCGCATCGATATGCTTTTGCACCTCGCTCTCAGGCAAGTCTCGGATACTCAACATCGGTGTTGGGTCACCCTCGCCATTGTCTATCGAGTCCCTCAGCATACCAGGAGTCAAAGACGTCGTGGGGAACACCTGTTGACTGCGAGCGCCGATCCAGAAAAGAATGGTGATTGCATTACTGGCATATCTCTCGTACGAGTCCCAAGAATCTGCAGCGGCCGTGGCTGCCGCAACAACGATCCCCTGGGAGTGGCCCGTAGCACCACGGATGCGCTCTCTGAGTAGTCCAGGGTGTACACCGAGGCCCTTTGCGAGTATCTGGTAGTGGCAAAGCTGCACTAGACCAATCAATGGCAAACTGACCGGTGCAGAAATGAGGTAGTCGGCATCCGGAGTAGTATCAGGAGATTGCAGCCATTCCATTATATCCAGACCCTTGGCGTACAACTTCAGGGCTCTGGGGTCTGTCGCAAGATTCTGCAGCAGCTCGGCGGATGCTGTCACAAGCCCGCCCACGAATGAAGGGTACGTCTCATACACTTCACGAAGCTCATCGAAGTACTCGACGATATTACCCTGGCCGCCGAAAATGTTGTAAATGAACGCTTCCTCATCGTCAGCAGCCCTCATCAACGCCGACTCGTGAGGCCGGATGGCACGATGTGCGACGGACCGGGCTGCGTAGTAGCATCGAACCACGGCAACCTGCTTCTGAAGAATGCCGGGCAAGTTCTTTGCTAGAGCATGGACGTCGTTGCCTCTGAGAAACATGCGCTCGAACTCGTTGAGGACAAGCTTTAGAAGTTCCTCGTACGACCCCTGGGCATCATCTTCGCCCTCGTCAACCTCGTGGGCGACATAGCCCATGTATCTCGCGACAAGCTCAGCTACCGACGACGGTTCGTCATCTTGGGCCAATTCGTCCGTAGGCGTGGGAAGGCCGGCGGTGAAGCGGTCTCTCAGTTGCGAAGCGTGGAAGTGGAGACCTGTCGGGACGAGGAAGGAAGTGTCGAGGGATCCATGGGTGAGGGTGAGTGGCCGGAGAGAAGCTGAGGATCTAGGAGTAGACACGCCCGTCTGGGGGCCAGTGCCAGTGCCGTACATGTTCAGGCGGGATTGTGGATTTAGGGTTGCGCAGGACGATGCTTGAGTGACGAGTTAGCTAGGAGCTCCGTGAAGAACTGGGCACAATTGAACCATCATACACTGGAGAGGATCTCCGTGCACTCAGCGAAGAGCAGGAGACGTTGCTGATCTACTGCGCAAGCACAAGCAGAAGGCTTGTCGTCGAGTAGGTTTGCGGGTGAATGTAAAGAAGGGCGACCACGCAATGGCGTTGGTATTGGTGTTGGTATAGGTATTGGTATTGTGAATCGAAATGCGCCAACAGCCTCGATAACGGGCGGCTGCAATGACAATGACGAGCGTTTCGGGTTGACTATCTGCCTGTCTGCGTTGTCTCAGATAGGGGATCGTGGAGTGGTGAGGGGGTTGAGTTAAAGCGCGGGTAGGTGGGAGCGCCCGAGTTTGGTGGTGTTCGCGTTCGTGGTCGTGGTTAGGGAGCTCCAACCAGATCAGTGTCGACGGGAATCAAGTTGGGAGTTAGTTGGAAGGAGCACTTGAGTTGAATTCGCACCTGAACCACCACAAATACGGGCCCTCCAATCAGGTCTCTGGGCTATAGCAGGAAGCAGCGCTGCTGGAATAAGGTACCTCACGAGTCACGAGCGCCTTCCGTCCCCTGGCCAGGTCACTCAACGTGGTAACTTTCAAATGTTATTATCACCCGACGGGACATTCACGAGGGTGTGAAACCAGCAACTGGCGACAGACGCGGCCAACATTGGAGCTCTCCCATTCGCAGGAAAGCTCTCGCCAATTTTTTTTGCGTTCTTGTTGGGGATCCATTCGGATTGGGTGCCACACGATTCACGACAGGGGCTGGGAGACTAATGGCTGTCCACGTACCGGTACTTTGAAGATGGAGACCTCTGACCACCCGCACCTGGACTCCACGTACCTAGTTCCAAAGTGCAGTGACAGTCGCCTCTGAGAAAACAAGTCACATTTCTTCAAAGTTGCTCTGGGCGACAACTGCAAATTGGAGATGGATTGTCGTCGTGTCGATTTGCTTCTTACCTCACTTTTTACCCATGAATGGGTTTGGTGATGTCATTGGAGTTGAAAAACAAAACAAAACAAAACATACCTTAGAGGTCGAGTATGGCTACATCTGCAGTCCCGAAGATCCGTATTCCTCGGAGATATCTACTATGTACCGGCTCCGGCTCCGGCTCCGGCTCCGGCCCCGAGATATCCATCAACCTTGGAGGCCTTGTATGTTGAATAGCATATCGCACTGAACAACACCGTGTCTGAAGTTCGTGTGTGTATGGAGGCGAGAAAAGACAGAGCACGATGTTCGCATCACCAGCAAAGTATTCCTTGCCTTCAGCCATTGATCTAGTGAGGCCAAAGAAAGGGGTCCCAGCGCCAGTGTGCATGTGACCGTTCTCTCACAACAGTACAGAGCTCCGCGAGTGATATGATGCTAAACCGCGGGTAGACAGCTTGCGGGTCAACTCGGTGATCTGCAAGTAATAAGACAATTGTTCAGGATTCAGGATGTGATGATGCATATCGTCAACCCCAAAGACCTCTAAGCTACCGTCACTACAAAGGACCTGTCCTCAACCAACCTCATGTGGAACATCAGACAACAGCTGCCGGGTGGGCGTGTGCATGTGATACTCCTGTCCCGAGTTCTGTTGGCAAAGTCCAGTCAAACATCAACATGAATGAGGGTGAGTGAGGATGCTGATGAAGGGTACATGTAACCGCAAGATGTACTGGTACTTAACCTCGGCCCTGTAGTATTCCCGCCAGGGTGGCACTACAGGGGTCGAACGCCAAGAAAAGGGTACTCGACCATCGGCCCAGCGGGCTTTTTCTTGTTGGCACCTACGAGCAAGGCGACTAGTCGACTTCGGCAGTGACTGAAAAACACAACAGGGTGGCGTCGCCGCGCAGTTCACTGCGAAGCTGCCCCTGATAGGGGAGAAGAGCGCCATGAGCTCATATTGGGAAAGTCAATGGCCAAAAAGGTTTCCCGGTTTCGTCGTATCTCAGCTGGGTGATCGTTTGAGTTGAGGCCCGGTAAGGTAAGGTATGCAGGATTGCGGGATCGATAATAAAATACAGATGTCAATGTTGCGGCGAGTTGAGCTGAGACGCAGCGTGGGGAAGTGGTCTAGAGTGGCACTAGACTCGGATAGGATTAGGCAGAAGAGATCGTTGAGAAATGGTGGAGTTAGAGCAGCCCCTAGGCGCATGAAAAGGGGCCAAATCTGCTCAGGCGGCACATCACGAATCGGCTGATCGGGTGCCAGGGGCTCCTGTTTGGAATCTTGGGGCAGCAACTGCAGGTGATGAGCACATCAGCCACCAAACCGTACATATGTGTTGGCGATAAGGAAGGCAGGGCTAGCTAGGGCTGATGAGGACTGAAGGAAGTTGGGATTTGAGGATCTCGTGCATGTAGGGTACTCTCTATGCAGGGTGTGTGGAGGTGGGTACTTGGTAGGAGCGGAAGCCAATTGCCCGGCAGCCCGGTCGACCGACAGCCTCCCCCCAGCCGGGCCTGCCAGCCAAACCCCTGGCGGCCAATCTAATCAAGTGCCAGCATCCAGTTTTTCTGGAGCAGGAAGGCATGATGCAGTTCAACATTTGGGAAAGCTCCGTCCAATTCCGTGCCCCTTCAGCCCCTTCCACACCAGGCAGACCAGTGCAAGTCTCACTCACCACCACGGACCACCACTGATCACCAGCACGTCGGCTGGGAAGCGACCTGCTATTGTACAGTACCTTACCTATCTACCTACCTAACCTATCATTACTACTGCCAGCCAAACCGGCTAGCTCTGCCTCTCGCTCGCTACCTGCCTCCCGCCACTTCTGTGCTGGCGGAGATCTTGCGTTGTACGATCCCATCTACTAGGCCCTGCCTGTGCTCAAACCGTGATACAAGACAATTTCTACCACACACTGCCAGCCTAGGTAGAGACACTGAGACTTCGTCCTCCTCCTCCCACTCTGCAGCGGCACCGATCCAACCGTCAATCCAGGCTCGCGTGCTTGTCTCGGCTGCTTTTTTCCACTTTCCTGTTAGATTTTCCAAACCCACGTCTCGAGTCGAGTCCAGCTATCGCGGCGTGGCATTACCGTCGAGAAGCAAAGGGGGAAAGCACACCCCTTCGACCAGCCCGACGACCCTCTTTCGACCTCCCCTCCCATATTGGCCCCGCCGAAACTCCATAAACACAATAGAGATACCCATTGGAGCCGGCAGCAATCCCTAAACCTCACATAGATCGCTCCCACAGCGTCTCCGACCCCGTCAGCCCTACGCGGCGCCTCCTTCAAGATGCGTCCCGAAGTCGAGCAAGAACTCGCCCACACCTTGCTCGTCGAGCTCCTCGCATACCAGTTCGCCTCCCCCGTGAGATGGATCGAAACACAAGATGTCTTTCTCCGCGACAAGACCGCCGAGCGCATTGTCGAGGTTGGTCCGGCAGACACATTGGGCGTCATGGCCAAGAGGACACTTGCCTCCCAGTACGAAGCCTTTGACGCAGCAAAATCGGTCCAACGACAAATCCTGTGCTATAACAAGGATGCAAAGGAAATCTACTACGATGTAGACCCTATAGATGAAGAACCCGAACCCACACCCGCCGCTGCCAGCAGTTCGTCAAATTATGCGCCGACATCAGCCCCGGCCGCGGCCGCAGCTCCAGCTTCAGCTGCTCCGTCGAGTGCAGGACCGGCTGCCGCAGTCCCTGATGCACCGGTTTCCGCCCTCGAGATCGTCAGAGCTTTGATTGCGCAAAAGTTGAAGAAACCTTTTCTGGAAGTGCCCCTGAGCAAGGCCATCAAGGACTTGGTAGGAGGTTCGTACATGCTTGGCCACTTGTGAATTGTTTGTTACTGGGACTAATTTTGATATTAGGCAAATCTACGCTTCAAAATGAGATCATCGGTGACCTGGGGAAGGAGTTTGGTTCTACACCCGATAAACCGGAAGATACCCCCCTGGACGAGCTTGGTGGGCTGATGCAACAGACGTTTAATGGGCAACTGGGGAAGCAATCGCAGTCCCTGATTGCGCGATTGGTATCCTCGAAGATGCCTGGCGGTTTCAACATCACAGCTGCTCGGAAGTACCTGGAAACCAGATGGGGTCTGGCATCCGGTAGACAAGACGGTGTTCTCATTCTCGCCATAACGATGGAGCCACCCGCGCGTCTCACCTCGGAAGGCGACGCCAAGGCTTACTTCGACGACGTGGTACAGAAGTATGCTGCCAACACAGGGGTCAGTTTGTCCACCGCTGCATCTGCTGGTCCAGCTGCCGGCAGTGGTGGTGGCATGATGATGGATCCTGCTGCCATCGACGCCCTCACCAAAGACCAACGCGCGCTTTTCAAGCAACAGCTTGAATTACTTGCTCGGTATTTGAAGATGGATCTCCGAGCTGGCGACAAGGCGGCTCAGACCTCGCAAAAGTCATCACAGGTTCTTCAAGCACAGCTTGATCTCTGGTCTGCTGAGCATGGCGATTTCTACGCTGGGGGCATCGAACCCGTCTTCAGTCCCCTCAAGGCACGGATATACGACTCGTCTTGGAACTGGGCCCGCCAAGACGCCCTTAGCATGTACTACGATGTTATCTTTGGTCGACTCCGCATCGTCGACCGCGAGATCGTCAGTCGGTGCATTCGCATCATGACCAAGTCGAACCCTCTACTTCTCGAATTCATGCAATACCACATCGACAATTGTCCCACCGAACGTGGAGAGACTTACGCACTGGCCAAGTTGCTTGGTGAGCAGCTGATTGAGAACTGTAAAGAGGTCCTAAACGTGTCGCCTGTCTACAAGGACGTAGCTGTGCCGACCGGGCCACATACCACCATCGACCCTCGTGGAAACTTGAGCTACGAGGAGGTGCCTCGACAGAGCTGCCGCAAGCTCGAGCGCTACGTTCAGCAGATGGCCGAGGGTGGCAAGATCTCTGAGTACGGCAATCGTGCCAAAGTGCAGAATGACATTGCACGCCTCATCAAGCTCATGAAAGAGCAGCACAAGATGTCAAAGACTGCGAAGCTAGAGTTCAAGAACCTGTACGGCGGCGTTCTTCGCTCGCTGGCAATGAACGAGAGCCAGATCATGCCCAAGGACAATCCCAGATCCAGCGGACTCGGAAAGAAGATCGCTTCGAAGGCCAACAGTCAACCCAACAAAGGCAAGATGGAGACCATTCCCTTCTTGCACCTCAAGCGACACAACATGCATGGCTGGGAGTACAGCAAGAAGCTCACCGGAGTCTACCTCAACTGCCTCGAGGGGGCTGCCAGGGACGGTGTCACCTACCAGGACAAATATGTTCTCATGACTGGTGCAGGTGCCGGCTCCATTGGTGCTGAGGTTCTCCAGGGACTCATCAGTGGTGGTGCTAGAGTGATTGTGACAACCAGCCGGTTCTCACGCCAGGTCACCGAAGACTACCAAGCAATGTACGCCAAATACGGTGCTCGCGGATCGCAGCTCGTAGTTGTTCCCTTCAACCAAGGCAGCAAGCAAGATGTTGAGGCACTGGTCGACTACATTTACGATCCAAAGAACGGGCTTGGCTGGGATCTTGATTACATTGTTCCGTTTGCTGCCATATCCGAAAACGGTCGGCAAATCGACCAAATCGACTCCAAGTCGGAGCTTGCTCATCGCATCATGTTGACCAACCTTCTACGTCTTCTCGGGCGCGTGAAGTTGCAGAAGTCTGACCGTGGTTTTGAGACCCGTCCTGCGCAAGTCATTCTGCCTCTGTCTCCCAACCACGGTACCTTTGGTAGCGATGGTCTCTACTCCGAGTCGAAGCTCGGCCTGGAAACGCTCTTCAACCGCTGGCACTCCGAGGACTGGGCCAACTACCTCACCATCTGCGGTGCAGTCATTGGTTGGACCCGCGGTACTGGCCTCATGTCCGGCAACAACATCGTTGCTGAGGGTGTGGAACGATTCGGTGTCCGCACCTTTTCTCAGCAAGAAATGGCCTTCAACCTTCTTGGTCTCATGTCTCCCAACATTGTTGACATTTGCCAGCATGAGCCGGTCTTCGCTGACCTCAATGGTGGTCTTCAATTCATCCCCAACTTGAACGACACAATGACACGGTTGCGAAAAGACATCACCGAGACTAGCGAGGTCCGTCGAGCCGTCACGAAGGAGACTGCTATCGAAGACAAGATCATCAACGGTGAGGACTCGGAGGCTTTATACAAGAAGAAATTCATCCAGCCTCGTGCCAACCTCCAGTTCAGATTCCCGCGTCTTCCAGACTGGGAGACGGAAATCAAACCTCTCAACGAAGACCTGGAAGGAATGGTTGACCTTGAAAAGGTCGTCGTCGTCACTGGATTTGCCGAAGTCGGTCCTTGGGGTAACTCCAGAACCCGTTGGGAGATGGAAGCGTTCGGCGAGTTCTCGTTGGAGGGCTGTGTTGAAATGGCTTGGGTCATGGGTCTCATCAAGAATCACAATGGACCTATCAAGGGTCAGCCTTATTCTGGATGGGTGGATGCCAAGTCTGGTGACCCTGTCGAAGAGAAGGACATCAAGCCGAAGTACGAAAAGTACATCCTGGATCACGCAGGTATCCGTCTCATTGAACCGGAACTTTTCGATGGGTATGACCCCAACAAGAAGATGATGCTGCACGAGGTTTCCATAGACGAGGACCTCGAGCCTTTCGAAGCATCCAAGGAGACTGCGGAAGAGTTCAAGAGAGAGCATGGAGACAAGTGCGAGATCTTTGAGATCCCGGAGAGTGGAGAGTATATCATCCGCATGAAGAAAGGTGCTTCCCTCTGGATCCCGAAGGCCCTTCGCTTCGATCGCCTCGTCGCAGGTCAGATTCCAACCGGCTGGGATGCCAAGAAGTATGGCGTTCCCGATGACATTATCTCTCAAGTCGACCGTGTCACCCTCTACACCTTGGTTTCCGTATCCGAGGCTCTCCTATCATCTGGTATCATTGACCCTTACGAGTTCTACAAGTATGTCCACGTATCTGAGGTCGGTAACTGCATCGGGTCCGGTATGGGTGGTATGACAGCACTTAATGGGATGTATACCAAGCGCAAGATGGATCAGCCCGTGCAGAACGACATCTTGCAGGAGTCCTTCATCAACACCATGGCCGCCTGGGTCAACATGCTGTTGTTGTCTTCTTCCGGTCCCATCAAGACTCCAGTTGGCGCCTGCGCAACTGCTGTTGAGTCGCTGGATGTCGGTTTTGAGACCATCATGGAGGGCAAGGCTCGCGTTTGTCTTGTGGGAGGATTTGATGACTTCGGCGAGGAGGGATCGTACGAATTCGCAAACATGAAAGCAACAAGCAACGCAGTCGACGAATTTGCCCATGGCCGCACTCCAGGGGAGATGTCCCGCCCTACCACTACGACCCGAAACGGGTTCATGGAATCCCAGGGTTGTGGTGTTGAGATCATCATGACGGCTAAGCTCGCGCTTGACATGGGTCTTCCCATCTACGGCATCCTCGCTCTTACCACCACCGCAAGTGACAAGACCGGACGCTCTGTGCCAGCACCAGGTCAAGGTGTCTTGACAACTGCCCGGGAGGTGCCCGGCAAGTTCCCTTCGCCGCTGCTTGATATGAAATACCGTCGCCGACAAATCGAGCTCCGCAAGAAACAAATTCGCAACTGGAAGGAGTCAGAGCTCGAGTATCTATACGAAGAGGTATCGGCCATGCAGTCTCAAGGCCACGAGTTCGACGCGAAGGAATACACACAAGAACGTGCCGTACATGTGGAGAAGGAGGCAGCCCGGCAAGTGAAGGAAGCCCTCCGGAGTTTCGGCAACAACTTCTGGAAACAAGACAGCTCCATTGCTCCTCTTCGCGGTGCCCTTGCAACATGGGGTCTCACGATCGACGACCTCGGTGTGGCGTCCTTCCACGGAACCTCTACCAAGGCTAACGACAAGAATGAGTCATCTGTCATTTGTCAGCAACTCCGTCACCTCGGCCGTAAGAAGGGAAATGCGGTCATGGGTATCTTCCAGAAATACCTCACGGGTCATCCCAAGGGTGCTGCCGGAGCCTGGATGTTCAACGGCGCCCTTCAAGTCTTGAACACTGGCTTGGTACCAGGCAACCGCAATGCGGACAATATCGACGAAGTCATGGAGCAGTTTGATTTGATCGTCTACCCGAGCCGAAGCATCCAGACCGACGGTGTGAAAGCATTCTCGGTCACATCCTTCGGCTTTGGCCAAAAGGGTGCTCAGGCCATTGGTGTCCACGCCCAGTACTTGTTCGCTGCTCTGGACAAGCAGGCGTATGCCGAGTACGTCGCCAAGGTGACTGCTCGTCAGAAAAAATCATACCGGTACTTCCATAATGGCATGGTCAACAACACGTTATTCCAAGCCAAGTCCACTGGGCCATACACCGACGAGCAGCTCTCGTCGGTTCTTCTGAACCCTGATGCCCGGGTCAGTGAGGACAAGAAGTCTGCCGGCCTCGCCTATGCATCCAACTTCGCAAACCAAGCTGCTGCACCACAACTTGCGAAATCCAAGACCACGAAGGAGATGGTCGAGGGGCTCGCCCGAAGTCTGGAAACTGGGAAGAATAACAAGGTTGGCGTTGATGTGGAGGATATTGCAGACATCAACATCGAGAATGACACCTTCGTCCAGCGCAACTTCACCAAGGAAGAGATCGCTTACTGTGGCAGAAGTCCTAGTCCACAGAGCTCCTTTGCCGGAAGATGGTGTGCAAAGGAAGCGGTCTTCAAGAGTCTCAACGTCGAAAGTAAAGGTGCTGGCGCGCCCTTGATTGAGATCGAGATCCTCTCCAACGAGCAAGGTGCCCCTATCGTTTCCGTAAGTCCCTTGCCACCCAAGCCCATTTACGTTGATTGCTGATTCATCCTAGCTTCATGGCAATGCCGAAGACGCTGCGAAAAAGGCAGGTGTGAAGGAGATCAGTGTGTCGATATCGCATTCTGAGACCCAGGCGATTGCCATAGCAGTTGCAACCTTCTAGTTTGGCCCCGCGATCCTCGGTGCTTGTGTTCTGTACATAATGGGCTCGGTGTCTGGCGGCATGGGATTCCTCTTTTCGCTTTCGTACTTTATACCTTATGCACTCAGGCCAGCCAGACTAGGGGGCTCTGTATTGCTGAACTTTGCCACGACCGCAATCGGGGAAGTATCAAGATTAGAAGATGCTGCAGTGACCGAAACCTAATGACAAGAAATGCTTGGGTGGATCGGTCCCCCGAAGCTGAGAGGCATCACAATAGAATATCTCTATAGAAACTACAAGCTTCTCACGAAAGTCTCGAGTTGGTCAATTAGTGCGCGAAAGTTTTATGAGAATTTACAGCCTGCTTTAGCCAACATGTCCGCGTCGTGATTCCCAGTTTACATGTGAAATACGCCGGATGCCGAGGACGCATGACGTCCATCCAGTCCCTTGCTTTCCATGGTAAGTTATTGCAGTCTGCAGGGCACCTTGGCACCGCTTCCTCGGTCAAGACGTTTTGGATACTGTTTGGCGGACTCACAGGTGAGCGAGAGGGGGGTGGGGGGTGACAGCATTCGGCGCCCATATCAATACACTGGAGGGTGGGATGAAGGAATTCGGTGAACTTGGGAGTCTTGTGGTCCGGGTGGGAAATTTGATATGTGGAGTGAGCTACATAGGTAGGTATCATTAAAGGGTGGACGTGGGCGGTGGACTGGCTGTGTTAATAGGATGTCTTGATTGGTATTCGCAGTAAGGTTCGATGCGCTAGGAGGTTGGACGTTATCTTGGGCCTTTGAGTGATGGAAACAATTTTTGGGTGTGTGAGAGAGTTGGACATGCTGATACTGGTCAGATGTGTTGTAGAAGGAAGGGTGTCTATGTGGTGTGCGGTACGTGGTGCGTCGGGCCGTGCTGTTTAGACATAGTGAAATGGAAGATGAGGAACTGAGTCTGGGGATGGTTGAGGTTGAGGTGTCTTCGTGAAATCAGGGGGCAGGTAGATGGTCATTTGGGGTCAAAGTTGTCACGGCTTGAGACGGAAAGGGATCATGGGGTCATGGGATTGGGTATGGTGGAGGTGTCCACGGCCACGTCAAGATACTGTTCGGGGATCTATGATCAGGTTATCAGAAGAATATTTTAGGAACCGGTGGAAGAGAACTCGAGTGCTACTAGAGAATCCTCGGGCTAGGTGGACGCGGTGAAAAGGTCCTCTTAGTCTGAGGATCTTCTATTAGATGGTATTGCTTTTGACAAGACATGCACCACACAGAGCTCATCGACTGTTCCTGTCTCAATTTTATAGAACCACTTGTGAGCGCATCACAATTAAACAAAGGACTCTCTGCAGTAGACGATGGAGAGGGGCCCTGGATCACGTATGGCTGTTTGCTGGTCTCAACCTATGTTCTCCAGTTCAGTGAGCACTTTGATGAGGACATCAAGTTATGTCCGTCAATATTCTGAGCCTTTGATGGAGGCGTCCTTGTGCTACTCTGAGTCACCGGCATCTTGGAGGCCAAAGCAAGTCTCTTGTCAATGTCTATGAATCTTTAGAGTAGTGAAAGGAGAGGGGGTTTGTTTGGTTCACCAGTGCGTCTTAATGTATGAGACCTTCTAACGGACCTGCAGGCAGGCAGCTACACCGACAGCCAAGCCCAAGGGATCAGTCAGGCTTTGATTCCATATTTCAAGGGCCTACAGCTCCTACGATCATCCTGCATTCCGTCACCCAGTACCAACCCTTTCGTCCAGTACAGCTTCCAAACCATCAACGCATCACAGTGGCATAAGCCTTGCTCCCCGACACGTCCAGATCATTCGACCCATCTTCAACTCAAGGTATGCTAAGGTGCCATGGGCTACCACATAGTCTCTGTTCTGACTGACCTGGGGAAATCAGTCAACATGGCCGAGAACAGCACCCGCGATACTTTCAAAGACAGCGGCACCAAGTCCAGTGATGAAAAGACTCCGGTATTGGCTCCAGCTTTCGCCGTCGCCAACGTCGAGCTAGCGACTGCTCATGAGGACCTTATGTCCGAGTTCGACAGCGTCGTGGGAAGCGACGACTCCCTCGACTCTTCTGATACCTCCGAGAAGCTGTCCGACACCGCAAACGCAGTCACGAGCCATGATTATCTGAGCAAGAAAGCCAAGGCCAAGCTCAACTTTGAGGGGGAACTGGATAATCTGGCAGGCAGCTACAATGAGCTCGAGCGAGGCGAGAAGAATATGAGAACCATGGCGCAGAAGGTGCGGGACGCTCTTATCACCATTGAGAACTTCGTGAATCAGGCAGAGTACCTACTCCATGGCTCAGAAGATGTCACGGACTGTATTGAGAGCTTGCAGGAGATTTCGAAGAAGCTCTGAGCAGAACAGGATGCAATGTGGATTTGCTGCCCGGAGTTGTCGGCGTACTAGCCTGTTCTCACACTGGTCAATGAGATTCCAATTGTCAGAGACTCCGAACGAATGAGTCAGGTTGATCACCTACTGTACCTGTGTCGGTTTGTTCTGGTTTCATGAGCGGCGATACTGCTCGCAGCTGTGTTGATGAGAATTTATGGTGACATCCTTCGTTTGCACTGAGAATTTCCTCATTTGCCTTTTTGGGAAAGTGTTTGGCAGTTATTAGATTAGACATGGTGTCAAAATACGTGCTCAGGCGTATTTAGCCTTGCTCTGAGCAGAATATGTGTCATTCTGTGGGATGACCTGGTAGCCGTTAAAGGTCCGTCTCCCACTTTATTTATGTAGGATGGTACCCCTATTAGCTACCTTTATTCTTCTTCAATCTCACCCATGGCCTATTCGTCTTGAAGCAACTGATTTGACCGGCACGATCCGTTGCGGGCTGTCAATAACAGCTCGCAGGCCCTGCCCATCAAGGTACAAGTGGATGAGTCTGTGCCACGAAATAAGTTAATGTAGCCACGAACACTTTTCCCTTTTAAAGTCAGCACAGTCTCGAGCACCTTTCCCTAACAAGGTCTGCGACAAGTCACGACACCAACACCTTTCCTTCACAAGAATCAGCGACGATAGCAATTCCCAATTACTACGGTGCGTCGTAACTTACCCCTTGGTATTTACAAAAGCCGAACACCACGCTGATATTGCGCACAGCACGCCATCAAAGACCTCATGTCCCCCACCCTAGCATACTGAGAGATGGTATCGATCTTAGAATCGATTCCGGCTCTGCAGCAACCTTGAGAAAATCAACAATCTTTTTGGTGGCTCCTGGCTGAACCCTATCAATCTTCTCCCTCAACCTTAACGCCTACGCCGACAAGGACAACATCATGGACGAGTGTTGCGTCGGCTGTCAGGAACAGTTCAGCCCCCAGGATTCCATCAACGTCGACTGCGGATGTTTCTATTGCACGAGTTGCGTCTTACGCCACTTCCAGTTCGCCGTTCGCACCGACGCAGATTTCCCGCCTCGGTGTTGTTACGAAATCTCATTCACCCCAAAGCTAGCAGCCATTTTGGAGAAGGAGCTTATCGCCAAATACTGCGAGAGGCGTCTCGAGTACGAATGCCAGAAACGGCTCTACTGTCCGAACAAAGGGTGCTCCGAGTTTATTCCGGAACATTAGCGATTCCTAGGTTTCGCCGTCTGCGTGGCTTGTGGCCTATGCAGCTGTGCCAAGTGCAAAGGAGCATACCACGAGGGACACTGTCCCCCCGAGGACGAAGCCACCAAGCAAACTCTTGAGCTAGCTGCTTCTGAAGGATGGAAGCGCTGCTACCGCTGCCTAACGCTCGTTGATAGGATCGAGGGATGCAACCACATGATGTAAGTCCCAGTTCCGTGTCCTCTAGCACCCGTCCAAGGCAAGGGGGCGTCGATTATCTGAGTCCGGGTTGCTAACAATCAGTTCCAGTTGTACTTGTGATGCGGAATTTTGCTACAAGTGCTCAGCGCGCTGGAAGACTTGCGACTGCGGGGAGTACAGCGATGTGGAATCTGAGGATGAGGAGGTTCATGTTGAGGATGTGATGGATGAATCAGGTGCGCCCTAGCACTCGGGCTGCTTAATCGACAGTAGATGAGGTCTACGGGGGTGTTGGCAACCTCCGCCGGCACGATTGCCACATTCTTGCCGGTAACTACCAGACAGAATCTGGTTCTATACTGTAGCACAAATGCACACTGTCTTGCTATCTGTATCTTGTCAGAATACCTTATATGTTTGTTTGTTTTGTATTTAACGTGGGGGATTGCTCCTCAGTAGTGCAAACCACGCCTCCCGGAGCCTCTGCATCGCAGGGTTGTGGAGGTATCAAGATAATAAGTGCAGTCAGTCCCGCTCACGAACCCATCCCCGTTGTTGCGGCGGTATGACCTTGGGTCATCCATCTGATCCTTTGAGAATACCTTATATATTTGCATCTTGTCTCTATCCACACCTCCCAGCCTGCTGCAGTACGGCCCCTACCTCAGCAAAACTACACCGAGAACTACCAACACCAGCTACGTCAACAACATTGAACTACACAAAAAACTACATCAATAACTACACCAACAATTGCACTAATAACTACACTAGTAACTAACATTACGGCGCTGCCAGCTGACTAGCAAGTAAGGAGGTATACTCAAGGTGCAAATAGCATGAATGCAGAATCACCACGGCTACCTAAGCAAACCGTCTACAAAGAATCCTCCCGGGAGACCATATCCTGCAACCAAACAATAGCATCTGCGATCTCCCTCGAGACCTGCGACGATCTCGGTATCTCGTGCCCGCCGCCTGTGTCAAATACCCGCCTCTTGTCAGGGTTGCAGAACCAAGCCAACTGCACCGCAGCCGGATACCGCGGGTCCTTGATGCCGTAGATGTGCACCGTAGGAATGTCGATCACGAGGTGCTCCGGTATATCGGTCAGATTCAGCCCGTACACATCGTCAGCCTCCAGCGGCGGCAGCGCCTTCGGGTCCAATCCGTCCTCGCTCGTCTTATTGTCATCACCGCCCTGCCGCTCGAACATCTCGACTTCCCTGCGGTGATACAACGTCGTCGTATCACGCCACAGGCTCGTCTGTCGCCTCACGAGCGGCGGCCTCTTCTCACTACTCGACTTCGTCACAGTCGCACCCCTCCCACCACCGCCACATGCACCATCCACCCCACCGCCCTCCATCAGCGCCCGGATCTCCATACCCGCCGCCGCCGCCTTGCGCTGCAAATCCCTCCCCGTAAGCTCATTAATCTCAAACGCCTTCTTCGGCACCCTAAGCCCCCACACCTCGAGCAGCGGCAGCGGCACGCCGCCACAGATGAACACGATGCCCCGGACCGGCAGCGGTGTTCCCGGCCGCTCGATGCGGTGCGCCATCAGCAGGCCCGCGGCCAGTGCCGAGCCCTGAGAGAAGCAGATCAGGGCGTCGTAGGGCTCGCCGGCGGCGCGCGCGGCGTCGAGGATGGCCAGGATGAATAGGGGTGCGGCCTCGACTTCCGGGATCGTGTAGTTGCGGCAGAAGGTGTAGTGCGGACCAGGGAAGAAGGGCGAGATGGCGCGCGTGGCGTCGCATTCGTGGGGCGCGTTGACGAAGGTGAAGGTGTGTTCGCCCGGGGGCAGTTTGGCGCGGAAGGCGGCTGTCGGTGCTGTGTTAGTCTGGGGAATTGAGGGCGGGGTTGGAGGTGGAGGGTCGAATAGGGGGGTGGCGCGGTCACTTACACGTCTGCACCTTGAAGATGGCGGCGCTGGTGCCCATGCCGTGGAGGCAGAGGAACTTCATCTTGATGTTGGGCCTGCTCTGGATTGACAGGGTGCAGGGATTCAGCGAGATCTCGATTGGGTGTGATTCTGATTGGAGGCGACTATGCTGGCAGTAGCTTTGATAGATGCAGCTGTAGAGAGTTGGACAAGGGAGTGAAGTTCGACTGGATCATGTGCGAAATATACTGAAGGATTGCATGTGCAGGGGAAGACATTTATTGGTGTGTATGGGTTGGATCTCTTGCCAGAGGTTGCAAGTCAAATACAGAATGTGCGTACAGAAAGGCCGCCCATATGCATGTCTCATCGGAAGGCCTTGGAGTTTCATTGGCTTCTCAATGCACTGGTTCGAACGGAGTTACTAGACGGGGTTACGTTGCTTTGATCGCAATATATTTATCTCAGTCTTTGAACCAAATTGCAACATCTTTACTAATCTTCACTGCTGAAAGGGGTTGGCCAATTTCTGTTGAGGGGCCGGACTTCTTCATCCTAGGCAATGTAGGATCAATAAAGTCCGCACCCTGCTGAGAGCTCCCCTCACAACCCCATTTAGTTTGGTGTTGCATTCGAGCCGGTCAGCCCCCAGCGACGAGGCGTTCAACAGCTGAACGGGAATGGGGGCCCCATGCACGTCAGGTTGCATCGAGGGCTCACGCGTGCAGCCCATCGTGGTATCAGGGATTACAGCGTCGTATTTGTGACTGCAGCCCGCTGGCTTTGGTAAGATAAGGAAAAGACAGGAGGACGCCATCAGCACCGGGTCTCTGACGGCTGGCCGGATGGACCGACCGCATGGGACTTGTCTTGTCTCGGGCCCATTCGCTGGTGGCACAGGTGTTGTGTGTCTTGGATGCTGACTCAGACGCAAGAAACCGAGCTGGGGCAGAGTGGTCATGTTGCTGAGGTTGGTCGGTACAGACAGACGCGAGGTTTGTATTAGTCTCTTTCGATGACATTGAACATCGTGTTATACCTTTGGGGGTAAATCCAAGTGGCTTATTATACATATTATGCTCTAGACAGAGATAACAGCCTCCAGAAAATAAACCCATTGATATCGTATAGTACATTGATATGCTCCAGAACAGACTGCAAGAAAACAACCCATCGACATCGTATAGTAAGTACAGTATATTCGTACACGGGAGAGAAATGCTCCCACACTGGATAGCACAATGCCTCATTCCCATCCCGTTAGTTATGGTCAACCTCGGCGCAGGACATCCATAGTGGCGTTTGAGATGCCTCGTAGGTGTTTCCGCAGGTCTGCTTCAAGTTGACCAAACACCGCAGGGGAAACGTTGATGATGCTTAAATTTGGAATGATACCAGACGTCGGACTGAATCTCTTTGGGCTTGATGCCATCTCTCGAAGACGTCTCAGCAGGCGCTCGATCAGCTTCAAAACCACCTGCAAGTCTTCCAAGATCCCTTCGGCACTTGTGATTGTACTAGTGCCTTGTTGTGTTGCCTTGGAATACGTCGCCATGATCTCGAAGGCGATCAGGATCATGATTATTCGTAGGTAGTCGTCTCGAGAGAAGCAGTCGCACTCGATTATCTGGAGGACCTGCCCTGTAATCTCGACATGTGTGATTTGCGGTGGCCCTTGGTAACTCCTCAGGGTCACCAGAAGGGCTGAGGCCTGTGAAAGGCAGTCGTGGTAGCTATTCGAGAATCCCGATCTGCTGTGACTTGGTGTCTCGGGTGGTGTGCAGAATGTCGTCGAAGGCAGGTTCGAGAACGCCGTGGGTTGGTACTCGAAGCCTGATGGCGGGCTTGACACACTCGAGACGCTTCTTGAGTGGTATCGTCGGCTGAGTGGTTGCGGGTCTAGATCGAGGCCCTGAAGATAGTTCAGAGTGCTGAACGTAGCGTCCGTCGCGACTACCGGGCTCGAAGTTGGTGTCATATCTTGAAAGCTCCGGCAGTGAAAGGGGATCGCAGGGGCCGAAACTCCATCAAGAGACGCCAGCGCAAGGTTATGGGAAGTAGCGGGATCGTAATCATAGTCGAAGCAGGCATTCAACGAGTTCGTCGTTCCCATGTCAAGAGGTACTCCCGTATTTGGCTCGTATGTCCAAGCAGACTGCGAGGCATCTGGCTCTGAGGATGGAGATGACGTCCAGGATGGAGACGGCGTCCTGGACTCGGTCGGAAGCAGGACTCGTTGCGGTGTCGTGCTAGTGCTCCTATCTGCGGCCTCCATGCTGTTGAGTTTGACGCGAGCAGGCAGACGACCGTAGCGGTACGAGAGACCATACGAGCACTCTAGCCCTCTCTCGATGCATCTTGCGCAGATTGGTCTGTCTTTGCTGCATTTGACCTTGGCGCCGGCGCAGTTGGTACAGCTGTCCTTGTACTTCTGCCGTGTTCGAGTCGCCTGCCGGCCAGTCATCGCTGCGCAAGTATTATAGTGAACCGTGTCAGGGGGCAGGGCAGACGAGGCAAGGCAGACGAGGCAAGGCTGGACTGAAGGGCAACAGCACCAAGTAGAAGTAGACCTCCTTATACAAGTGTCGAACGTTACAATGTCAAATACCACGACGTTTAGGACCTTGCATGCGGGCAGCTAAGTGACTGCGTGGCGCTGTTCTGCATTCGTATAAACGAGGCGGACAACCACTCCGTGCCTTCTGGTCAACACAGACGATGCCTAGTCCGCGCGCAAGACGGTGGTCCGTGGATTGTCATCACTGCATCGATGCGCCCCTTAAGCCACATTGGTGACCTGCATCGTGCCCGTGCTAGGTGTGAAGTACCGTCATTGGTTCGTCTCTCACCTGATACCGCCTGAGCCTGACAACTTACGAAAGGGGTCGTCTCTTTAACCTCAGGCGCGGATCGTCCGCTAGTACCAACGTCTGCCGAACGGGACAAGGTTACAAGGGCTATTCCTTCGCTCGAAAAGGGGTACTATTTCAAGCTAGTATACCTAGTCTAATCTTTCCACACTTAGACACACAAGGGTAAAGAGTCGACGATCGTTCCCTCGTGTTGACCATCGACCTGCAGCTTGCATCGCTATCTTCAGCCCGCAAAGCCAACGGCAACGCAAGGGCCTACATGTAACCATTGCGCCCCTGCGGACTTACGTATACAATACACCTGGTACAGCCGGTGTAGCTCTGATCAGCGATTGGGTAAGCATAAGCGATTTCTCGCCTGAGGCGTATTCCGATATCTTGGTTACCTTCGAGAGCTTCGAATCTCTAGTCATTCCTACGGTGTCTCTACCCGTTCCATGGACCTACAGTGCTGAAACTCGGCAGATGGTAGGATTTCCGATACCGAAGCGGGAGAAAGAGATTTTCGAACCTGTCGCTTCCATGATGAAGGTGCCGGGGGATCTATTAATAACGCCGCGGGGTTGTCTGCTGTGCCCATGTGCCCTCGAACAAGCCGAACCTCGTGGCTCTTGCATACCAAGCGCATACCGAAATCCTTTCTCATCTTATTTACTCGTGCTGCGTGGGCCTGCATGCAGCTGATAATGCTACGGTAGCAAGCGGAATGCAGAAGCCAGTTCTAGCCTCTAGATTGTTGCCCTGAAACTCCTGCCCGTGCGTTTGCTAAGCCTCCGGCAGATCGGCGCTGCACCTCCATGTATGTAAGATCGGATGAATTATATCGCCATGCTGTGGGGAAACCGTTTCTGACGCAGGAACGCCATCTAAACGGGCAACGACATCCGCCCCTGTGCCCCTGTGAAGCCGATGGTCTGATGTACGGTACAAATGCCATTGCCCTACATACCTACCTAGGAGGCAGAGATGTGTATTAACCCCCGTCCTGCCATGCGACCTGTAAGGACAAAACAGTGTCGCGAAACCGGCAGCCACCTGAACTGCATGTGGCTAAGCTGAATACAGGGCACGCAGAGATGTCGGCCAGGCGAACCGGCCGCATGAACCAGCTGGCAGCCTTTCTACTCGCTAACATCAATGTGGTCACATGCCTTTGCAATATTTGGAATCATCAAGGCCGCAGGAAAGTCCTCACGACCGAGGAGCTGCTGCTGTACGCAGCCCTTCTCTTACGATAAGCGTCATGGTGCGTAGTGCAAGGCCGAGTCCCCGGCTACCCCTACATGGGTATTGGTCGCGTCATCAGGTACCCTGTATTGCCAACAGCTGAGCTGCCCCTGAGATCGCGCGGGAGAGTCGGTAGTGGCAGACGCCACCCCTTTTCCTTTTCGGAGTTGGCCTCCCGCCGTATTTCGACGACTCACATGGGCGATTGTGACAGGACTGGCTACCAACTGGCAACTGCATGTGGCTACCAGGTAGGCGGAGGAACGGCAGTTGAACCTCAGCTCCACCGTATACTCACCGTCGCTGATACTTGACTGAGGCTGGGGAACGACAGCATTTGAATTCAGGTCTTGCTTCCTCCTAGGCTGACTTACGAGCAAGCGTACTGCTCAAACGTAATTATCGCGGCTTGTCGGTGTGATACGCCGCCGAGTAGGTCGGTCTTGGAACATTTCAGCTCAGTATTTGGAAGGCCATTTCGTACTTCAGTGAAAAGCTCGTAGTTATCTTGTCGCTTCTAGTGCCCGGTTGATGACAAACCGCTGATTCTTCCAGGCAGAGCAGGACCATTGAGATATTGCACAGAGCAAATGTTTCCAATACTAGAACCCCAGACTCACGTTTCCGAGAGGTTACGGACAGTGTGTCCTGGACTGCTATCCTCCTCCCTCTCCTTGAGTAGTTTGTTATGTAATCGTGATAATTTCGTCATTCGAAGAAGTGCCTGCCATGCCCGGATAATGGCGGGAAATGGGTAGAAAGGGGTTGTCGAGAGCAGGTAGCGTACGAAGATCGAGGACAAACCGGTCGAGAAGCTGCAAACCTGGTGTTAGCAAACGATACCAAGGTAACTGGACATCGAACTTCACTCTTTTCAGCTCTGGCAAGGCTCTCTGCCTTCAGCCTTGCAGTTCACCAAAGCCCTGCTCCCCACTGCGGCTCCCTGCGCATACCTAGAGCACTGTATCATATTATTCCCGTTCACTGTACGCATTTCGCCAAGTATGGGCTTGATAATGACATCATTGTGCAAACACTCCGATAGGGGGGGCTGTATCTAGGTAAGAGGCGACAGCGGATGCTCCGATGAGGAACAGCTGGAGCGCTACCATCGTGGTAACCCTTTCAGGACAGAACCTCGCCTCACGTGTAAGGCTAGAGCAATAGCAGCAGATCAGCAAAGATATGTCACCAGGCGCCCGCCCCTCCTCTTTAACCAAACCCTTTCGGAAAGATAGCTGTGTCGTCCACTGAGTCTGTTGAAAGCCGATGTCGCCGACCCTGGCATCAGTCCAGCTCGGAACCCCACCGCAAGCTCCGCCAGCCCCTATTCGTATTTCCGTGGCGGACAGTCCAGGTTGTCGAATATGCCAGCAAGGCGCAAATGGTTCTCTTGGATGGTCAAGAAGTCTCTCAAGCAAGCCGATCATTTCGTACTAGCCCAATCTACGTTCATATTATGTGTAGGAAGCATCGAACTTGGGCAGGTGGAAAAGGGCGGGTTTGCTCGTAATCGTTTTGTTAAACAGCGTGACTAAGGTTCATATGTCTGAAAACATTGTATTCTGGTAATTTTTTATAGATTGTTGTTGTGTGAAAAATCTGCTGCTAGAGTGCTACAGCATACTAAAAGGCCTAAATGCCCTGCTAGTACACTGCTACCTCTTTAAAAGTTATTATAACTTACGTACTATTTAACATACCTTTTAAAATAACCTCGTTATTTAATCCATTTAATAAAGGCTTTTTAAGACGAAAATCTAGGTTTTTATAGCTTGTAAAATATGTTAATTGTTATTTAAATTATTAAATTTCTTTTCAAGCCTTTAAATAATTTCTATTAATTGTAAAATAAATACTAATTTAATTATTTAAACGTATTAAAACCATCAATACTTTCTTTTAGATAACGTTTTAATAAAGCTGTTAGTAACTATTTTACTTATTTTTATTTAAATTATTATTACAATTTCTTTTTAAACTCTTTATTTAAATTAAGGAATGTAAATATTGACATAAGAAAGCTTTATTGAAAGCTTTAGTAATTTCTTTAAAAGTGTTGGATCCGCGCGATTCTCATTCTACCTGTATGATTGGATAAGTACAAGGAACGATTAGATAAGCAAGTGCGGCTACTTGACTGGACCTTCGTGCCCAGTCAGGTTTTGCACAATCAATCAATCTACAACATCAGAATCCGACCCCAAGCTCGAGCATTATGACCTGGATTGATTCGCAGCCTTTCCACACTGATCAGTGTTGTCTTTAAGGCAACGCAGAGAAGCAAGGAAAGAAGAGACCTAACTGTATCAACGTACCTCACCAAGGCAATTTCGGGGTACAGCCAAGGATCTGGATTTTCTATCGCACAACGTACCTCACCAAGGCGATTCGGGGCATAGCACGAAATCTGAGGTTTTCTAATTGCAAACGTACCTCACCAAGGCGACTCGAGGCATTCAGATTACGCTGCAAGCACAGCAATATTAACACCTTCCCTCGCGGCAGACTGTACATCCAGAACTGCTGACAGAACCTTAATATCCTCCCCTTCTTCAATCCCCCGATCCATCACTCACGTCGCATCCATTCCAATAAGATGTCTGACAACGATAGCAATGGATCCCAGGATGCTCAGGATCCCGCAAAGATCCTCACGCAAAAGAAGATCCGATACCTTACTGACCGTGGCCTACCTACTGGTCTTGCCGACTCTATCAACCTCGACCAAACTTCCCTTCCCGAATCAATCGATCTTATGGACAGCAATGCCATTGACTACAATTCTTATGCTTTGGCATGTATGGATTGCTACAACCTCTCCTGTTTGGAAAGAACCGTCCCTGGCGAAATCTTCTACAGCTTCTAAGGGGATTTCGAAGGTTAGAAGAGAGAAGACTTCGAAACGATCAACCGAAGCATTCGAACTGCCTTCCGAAAGTGCCTGATTGCCAAGGGCGTTTACCTCGGCAAGACGAACGGCTCTATTGCGGAAGCCCTGGCCAACCTTGTTACCGCAGAAGACTTTCCAATATGGGATGAGAAGTCACTTCGAAAAGCACGACAAGAACACCCTGACCCTGGTGTTTGGAAACTTGTTGATTTCTACATGACACTGGCTCAAGATCATGACGATGATGCAGATGACCAAGGTGCCGATACTACTCCTGCAGGCAACACCCCTCAAGCTTCTGCCAATGTCACCTTCAAATCATACGTTCCACAACACAATCCTACAACACCAACACCAAGCACTGAGATCACTCCGCAACAAAGGATCCTTCCCAACCAAACCCCAATGGCATACGCAACTGGCCAATTTGTTCCTGATCCTCGCCACGTCTCAGTCACCCCAGACCCTGGA